TGATGAAGAGGAGAAAGAAGCTTCATCTGCCCAGCTGGAGGAGAAGGATTTAAACAGTGAGGCTGAAGAAGTGCAGGGTACAGCAGAGAATGACTGCACAAAGGAGAGCAAGAAGAGAAAACTGGATGCACGTATGGCAGATGCTGAAAAGGTTGGACCACTGAAAAGCTCTACTGATATTGAAAACATTTCCCATAATCTGGGAGAATGTGCAATTAATGCAGAAATTCCCTCCTCAGGCCCACCCTCACAAGCAGAAGAGGACCAGGAAGCACTGAAAGAAGATGATGCGAGCACCAAAGGCTCAGCAGTGCCAGAGACCACTGATGCAGCTGTGAAACGGAGGAAAGTCGATAAAAGAACATCGAAAAACAAAACAGTCAACTTGGCCATAAACCTGAACATGGGGCCCACAGACTGTAATGCCAAGGTAAATTCATCTGCTGCAAAGTCTGAGGCTGAAAAAGAAAATGTCAGTGAGAAAAATGAAACTGTGGAAGTGAGAAGTGAGAAGGGGGGGGGTGGTGATGCAGATGGTGAGGGTGTAAGACCCCTGGCTGGTTCCAGGCTCCCCAGGACTGGCTCTACTTCTCCAAGAAGTGATGGCTGTGAGTTGAGTGGAGATCAAGGCACGGTGAGGAGTGATCAGCACAACTGCAACAGCACACTCCTGGGGGGTAAGAGTGAGGTAGATGGGGTAGAACAGCAGAAAAAGGCAGAAAACGCAGACGAAAAAGGGCAAGCAGAACCCACAGACAAGAAACAAGCTCCAGAGAGTCTTGAGCAGAGCACGACACCCACTTGTCCTGAAGAAGACAGTGCTGAGATTGCAACACAAAAAGCTGAGAGCTCTGAGCATGCAGCAGAGCCTGGTGGAGAGCAGGGAGCAGCAGAGTGAGAGCAGCGCAGCGAGTCCTCGAGCAAGCAGAGATGACACTGCCCCAGCTGCAGGGAGCCAGCTTGGATAAGAGAAGTACATGGAAAAATAAACTTCCTTTGGGATGATCCAGGCTGGCCCCTGTCTCACTTTCACTCTGTCATGCTTTTTTAATCATCTCTAGTAATTTCACCGAGATCCAGCTTTTGGTTACCCTAAAGAGGAAAACTTTAATTTAGTCATCTTCATGAACAGGCCTTGTCCTGTTCCTGGTTTTTATCTGATGTTCAGGGCTATCTTGGAGCAACGGGGATTTTTGCACTTTGCTTTGATTCTGGTATGTCCCTTCTGAAAGAGAAGAGGAAAAATGATCTCTTTCCTTGTTTGAAATAGTTAAGTATTTATTAAATACATGATTTTTAATGTAAGACAGCATGACCTAATTTACCAGGCCTTTCTATTACCGTGTAACTTCTGTTTGTTATTTTGAAAGGCTGTACCTTTCCAGGAGTTTTTTCCTGGAAAAAGCGCTGTTTCCCTAAAATAGATGAGTATATGGATTTCACATGATGTCAGAGTATAGCTGCCTCTATAAAGTAGATTTGGCTTTGGACTGGGATAAAATGCATAACCAAACATACCTCTGATCAGTATGAACCTTTGTGTAGATACTGTTCTGAGGTGCAAAGTGCTGAGTAATTTGTTCTCTTCATCCCCACAGAGGTTGCTTTGTAGTTCTTAGAGTTGTTAAGAATATGAGTTGTCTACTAGTTTCTAAGAGAAAAACCTTCAGATTTTGCATAAAACTCTAGAGCTGCTCTTCCCCAGGTTTTCCCACCACTTTTAGACCCTTTATTGTCTTCCACAGATATCAGTGTCCATGCCTGGTTCAAAGGCCTTCCTTTCTCAGTTGCCAAAACAGCACAAATTTTTCCCACTGCATTTTTTTCAGCCTTTGCTGGTAATTTGCCATGGCCTGTGGGGCTCCTTTCTGAGGGGCCCATTGCGTGAGGTCAGATGTGTCAGATCCAACCCATCTCCCAGTTAGGGCAGGATTGGTTTGCCATTAATGGTCAGCATGTCAGACAGTGAGGGCATGTCCAAGTGCAGCATGTCTGGAAACCACTGGGCTTTGTGGGGCAGTTAATTGAAGCTTTAATTGGAGGGGGTACGCTTGTCTGGTTCGTTTATTTACAGCCCTCAAGAATTCACTTTCAGACTTTGCCAGCTATTTGCCTGCATTAGTGTTCCTGACCTCCCTGTCAGCTGTTCTGCCTGACTTACACCATATTCCACCGAGTCTGAAAGAGCATTAAACAGCTCAGCTCCTAAAGGTTGACAACAGGGACCCGTTTCATGAAGGAGGGGAAACCGTTCCCAACAGCCAGAAGGTCTGGACTTGCTGTTTGCTCAGATTGTTTGGTTTGGTTTTGGGGTTCTTTGGTGCTGTTTGGTTGATGCAGCAGCCTGTGCAATGTTAATGTGTTTCCTCTCTCTGCTACAGTTCTTAAGAAGCTTCATCTTTCAAGGAATTTGATGGGTGACTTGCCTTCCCAGACTGTAGGTCCTGAGCCAGCATGCCACATACATGTGTGTGGGAATAAAAGTCTGCAAGCTCAGCATCTCATGCTTGTGGTCACACACGTGCTGGAAAAAGGCTTTAATGTTTTTAAATCACTTTTTTTTTTTCTTCTTATGAACAAGTGGAGTTAAATAGCCAATAAGAATACACTTAACTACAGATACAAATACTTGAAGATGTTGAGTGAAAATTCTTTCCTAAGAGATTCCTAAGAATTGTTAATTGTGGCTTTTGTACAGATTTATAGTAATTTTCTTATTTAATGAAATTTCCATTGTGAATATGTGCTCAGTTGGGGCATAGATCATATATCTTGTTATGGTGAGGTTTGGTTTTGTGTTTAATGGGATTTCACTGTGAGCCCCAGCCTGGAGTGAGTGCTCAAACCAAACCCTTCCCTCTCATACCTGGTTTACAGTTTTGACTGTAGGTGTGTGTGGTGAGTTCACAAGATGTTTCCCAGCACTCAGAGTTGTATCACAGAGTCTGTTATGTTAATTCCCCTATTAAAGCATGACTTGATTGCATACCAGTTTCCACTTTTTTTTATCTTTGAGGGCAGGATGTGACTATGTATTTACCCACCACCACCCACCCCTCCTGTGTCGTGGTCCCCTCCAGTAAGTGGGTGCAGGGGGCTGCCCAGCATTCCCAAGCAGAGCTCTGCTGGGCTCACCATGAGACACATTTGCTGCTTGTTCCATGGGGAGGTGATGCCCAATCTTCCTCCAGCTCTAAAATATGCCCAGTGAATGTCTGTGGGATAAAGATACCCCCCAAACCCCCTGCAATGGTTCTTGTTTAATGATGTGCTTGGAAATCATAGAATCATGGAATGGTTTGGGTTGGAAAAGGCCTTAAAGGTCATCTCAGTCCACCCTCAGACACCTTCCACTAGACCAGGCTGCTCAGAGCCCCATCCAACCGGGCCTTGGACGCTCCCAGGGATGAGGTGTCCCCATGTTTCAGTATGTTTTGGTAGGTCCTGACTTGCCTTTGTGCTGCCACCCTCCCACAGGTGTCCTGATGCTCTGTGGGGCAAACAAGGGCTTCACTTCACTCATCCCTTGGGGCTTCAGGCAGGAGGGCACCTGCCCAGCCTGGCCATGGGGGTTCAGTCCAGTGGGTCTTTTCAGGACACAGGTACAGGGGTGTCTGTGTGGTAAAATGATTTCTGTGAGTTGCTGTGTCCCTTCAGCTGTGCTGCCTCTGCCTGGGGATGTGGAATGAGAGGATAACTGGGTGTCCTCTTGTTCCACGGGCTGGGCTTGAAGGTGAATACTCTTCCTGTGCTGGTCAGCAAACTCCATGGGCAGCAGCCCTCCAAGCCCAGGCTTGCTCTGAGTGAGGTGTGGCCAAGGAATTTAGATTTCCTCTGCCTTCTGTCCTGCCATCAGTTGGCCTCGTGTGGAGGAGGAGGCACAAGCTGTGCAAAGCAGTTTGTGGGACTGCACTGCTCTCCCTCTCTGGGGTTTGTGGTGTCCAGTAAAACATTCCAGTTATTTTGAAGCCAGCAGAAGCCATACAGACATACGGTCCCTTTCTGTCCCCAGCTGCCTGTTCCACAAAAGCTTGCAGGAACTTTGTAAATCTTTGAGTTCTTTATCCCTCTGTCAAGGTTAGTGGAATATTGACTGCTGGGGAGCTGGACAGACACACACTGTGTACTCATACAAACCTCCTGGCAAGGGATGCCAAACTGAAACCTGGTATTTCATTTCTTAAACTTTGCTTTTCCACTTCTGCTCTCGTCTTCTTAACCAAGTGAGCTGTGTCATTTCAGTTCTGATGAATCTTGCCCTGTTCTTCTCCACTTCCAAGCCCTACTTTGGATGAAATTGTCTTTAATCGATAAAAGGAAGCATGAAGCTATTTACAGAGGATACATCTCCGTGAATATATTGGCATTTGGGATCACCTGTCTGGGAATTGGTCCTCCTGTTTCTTCCTTCCAATATTTCAAATATTTTCTGTGGCTTTAAGGATGTTTCTCTTTTTTCCTTCCTCCTTGTATGCATCTGTGATTATCTGTTTTCTGATCAGGATTCGTCACTTTTCCAAGAAATCATTTGTTGTTCTTCAGATCACTCTAAAAAATAACAAACTAACAAAGCACCTCGTAAAGCAGTAAGGGCATTTCTCTGTGGTGATCTTGCACTCATTTCAGGTATATTAATGTCTCTACTGAAGTTAGGTGGCCTCAGGCACTGAATAACTCGCTCTGTGTTGCTTTTTACCTGTCCAGCCCAGAGGTGGTGATGGGCTTTGAGAAATGCCCTGGGTGAGACCCGAGGAACAGCTTTACATCTCCAGCTGGAGCAGCCCAGTTTTGCTCCTGTGTCATGTCTCCCAGTCCAGTTCTTCTGTAGGCTCCTCTTGCTGGAGCCTGGGGCTGCCCAGCAGGGCATGAATGAGAGCTGCTCTGGCTGCCTGCTGCTCCCCCTCCCTCTCCCACCTCCTCCTGAAACCTCCTCTCCTCCAGGCTCAGCCCCTCTTGCCTTGCTCCCGAGCTCTGCCCCTCCAGCTGGAGCCACAGGTTTATCTGGAGGCAAGGAGTCTCTGCTCTGTAAGCTGAGACCCAGGAGGAGGAGGGATCTGCTGGACCCTGGGGGAGAAAGGGTTTAGCTGCCCAGGAGGAACGGAGAGAGGCAGAGCCTGGGCACCATGGCCGGATTCTCCACTCTTGGGCTCCTCTCCCTGTGTCAGTTTTTAGTCACAGCATCGGCTCAGGTGAGAAACCTCATTTGTGTTTTATGCTCGAGAGAAAACCTGCAAGGGTAAAAAAGAGTGATCTGTGTATGTTGTGCCTGTGGGGTGAAATGTGGTAATAGGCAGATTATTAGTCTAAAGTTTATTAAAAGTGTGCATGTGGGTTTGTACCTGTGTGGGTCGGTGTAAAAACCACTGCTTTATATTTCCATGAAAGTGTTGTCTTCCCATTCAGGACTGCAGTTATGAGAGAGAAAGCCTTGGGAGAGGGGGAGACCTGTGGATGTAAGAGAAACAGTTTTCTTTTACACTGAAGTAACAGGTATTCAGTGAGACTGCTCTGATCTGATCTGATCTGATCTGATCTGGGTCTTTATTTGAATCAGAATTTCTTATTTATTCCTTCAATCAATTTTCAAGTTTTACACTTATAAAGCAGGGCGTTTAACCCCGTTCACTTCGGACGTGGAGCTGTATTAAACTTCCCTGTCTGGTGTTAATATTGTTGTGTGGGGAAGTGACTCCTCAGTGAGGTTTTTCATTGTTAGTGAGGAATTTTTGCAGCCTGGCTTGGGAATTCAGAGCTGCCCTCATCTGCTGCAAGCAGAGCTACTTCTACAATGAAACCTTTGTTCCCTAAAGCTACAGCAAGTTACTCTCTGGAGCCCTCTCCATACAGAAGTCATTTATTGGACCTTTTTTTTCCTTTCCCCACCTTTCCAAAATCCCAGATTTTCAAATGGCATCCTTCTCAGAGAGGAGACTTTCTCTTTCTCCTCCTGTCTTCATTGGTGTCTGCCTGGCTTTTCCATCACCCCATCAGCCTGGGACTATAAATTAATTATTACTGCCAAGCACTTGGCCCCTATGTTCTGTGGGCTTTGCATTTCCCCCTCTGCCCAAACCAGAACGTGCTTGTGGGCAGGGAGAACTGTTTCCTATATGACCAAACCCATTTGCTGCCCAGTGACCAGCTTTGATTCCCAGGATAAGCCACCAGTTAAACAAGCTGGGGAGCCCTGAGGATGTGCTCAATCAAAAGAGGTTTTCCAAAAAGCCTTGCACCAATCTGGAGCAACTCTGAGCCCACCCTGGCTGGCAGGGGGCCCTGAGGGAGGGAGGGTCAGTGCAGATTTAGGGTTAAGCTGTAGGACTTGGCCATTGCTTTCTGATCCAGCCCATGTGTTTCTTCTGATGCAAAAATAAACTCTTGTCTCTCATTTTCCCCTAGTCCCTTCAGAGAGTAGGACCACAAGGCCCTCCTGGACCACGAGGACCCCCTGGACCGTCTGGCAAGGACGGCATTGATGTGAGTGATGCGGCGGGGGCAGGCTCGGGGTGAGGGGTGGGGCAGAGGCAGAGCCAACGGAGCAGAGAAGCTGCTCTTGTTCTTCTTTGGACATCCTTCAGGGGTGGGCGGACCTGGAGAACCAACCTCCTCCTAAGAGACCTCGTTTTGCAAGAGCCAGAACAGCGAGTGGAGGTGCTGAGTGGCCTCAGGTTCTTTTCAGGATAAATCCCCTTCTCAAGGGAGAGCTCAGGGGTTCATGACCCTGCCTGCAAAGTAGAATATTTCTCTTTTGGTGTTAGGATCTGTGTAGGGTTGAGTGCAGGGGTACAGTGTGTGCTGGGGTTACTGCACGTTCAGTACTTCAGAGAGAGGTTTATGTGATGCCTCAGAGCATCCCCATCTCTAAAGAGGCTACAAGAAAGTCAAATATGCAGCACTGGACACTGCTCTTTTATTTTATATCAACATTTTCAGCATGGTTATCCCTAATTTTGGCGCGAGAGATGTCAGGATTTGGCTCGTGTGTTGCCAGACATGAGTTTATAGTGGCCCAAAAGGCAACTGAAATGGACAACCTTTGTCTCAGCAGGCAGCTCCTTTCAGTACCTCCTGTGGAGGTAGAAGACCACGGACCCCAGGACTTAATGGAGGAGAAAAGCTTGTTCTGTTAATTTTCATTGATGTTTCCATAGAAATGAAAAATACTGTTTCCATGTATCTGTTGGATAAGGACTGAATTGTGCCCTGTAGTTGGAAGTGGATAAAATGAGCATCAGAGGGACCTTCAACAAGACCACATCAAATGCAAAAGTCTGGGTTTCTGCTTCGATTTCCAATTTGAGTAGTGCTTGTCTGAGCTGCTTATGGATTAGTTCAGGGTTTTTTAAAGCTGGTCTGAAGTACATTTATGGAAATTGGGCCTTTAAGCAACCTTGAAAAAAATCTATTCATTCCATGCAGGTCATTTTCTTTTGGATAAGGAGGTTAAAAAAAAAAAAAAAAAAAAAAAAGCTGTATGAGTTCCCTGGAATCTGGTGAACAAGGAGTGTTTGTGTCTGCAGTGGTGAGCTTTCCCAGTGGCTCTGTGAGCCAGGCTGGTCTGAAGAGAGAACCTCATTGATTTCCAGCCGGTCCCTCCAAGTGTCCTTTCAGCTAACAGAGGCTGTTTTACTGGGAATCTCGCTCTGGTTTTGTAGCATGAGAAGTTCAGAGCTGGTACCTTTACAGCTTCTGCTGTTTTTCATGATGTGACAAAAGGCTTAAGGGGTGCCCTGGAAGAGGGTAAAGGACGTGTGTTCCCGTTCACAGCAGTGAGCCTGTAGAGTCCCTGCAGCTGGGCATCCATGTGGCCAGTGAGTTTTGGGAAAGGCTGGCTGTGATTCTGTACGGAGGGAAAAACAAGAGTTTGGAAAGGATGAAGCCCTTCTGACTTCAAGTTTCAACTTTTGCAGAGAGGCAATTGGAAAGAAACCTGTAGTTTTTCAGTTCCTGCTTTCTACAGAATATTTTGGACTTCAACTCTGGAACAGCACCGGCATCACTTCCGATAGCTCTTGGAAACAGGAGCCCTGGGAAATGCTGATCATGTGAACCTACACCTTTTCATCCACAACTAAGAGCTTTGGAAGGCTCCCTGTGGGACAGAACTACATAATTTCTAATTAATATGAAGAATGTTGTCCTAATAAATCAAACAGCTGAGTAAAGTATTTAAAGTGCAAAGTCCTGCAGTCCCAGCTTCAGCCTGGGGTTTTGGCTGTGCAGGAATACTCTCACATTTGAACAGACTTGAACTCCATCCCTCCTATGGATATAGGATGTCAGGTGTCCTGTTCATGTGAGATGGTCTGGCTTCCCAGGGTCAGACACCAGGATGGTTCCTGTTATTCAACAGGACACTGAGTCCTTTCAGGAATTGCATAGAAGAGATACAGGGCTGTGGCTGGTGTTGAGCACAGTCACACAGCCTCCCCATTTAAGGGTTGCCCTTTTTTTGTCCGTGCCCTCCAAAAAAATGATGGTATATAAAATCCAGCACTGCTCTGCATTTTCCTAGTGCTGCATGGAGAGGATCATCTGGATCCTTAGTGGCAGCACCAAATGTGCCACTGCAGAATGAAACCATTATTTTATTTCTTTTCTTTTGGTGATAAGACTTTTTTAAAATTGCAGTCAGAAATTTTCTGGACTGTATCTGTGCAGCTTTCCTGAACTCTGTAAGCCACTCCAGCCAGGCCATCTTCACAGATGGCTTTGGATGAATGCAGTGTAGGAAGTGTTGCTGGGTGTCTCTGAGCTGGATGAGTGCTGCTGAGGTGTTCAGCCATCCCTTACCATCAGCTGTGAGCAGTGAGAGATGCAGAACATGCAGCTGAATTATTCAGGATGTTTCCTTGGATGAACCCCATCAGCACAATTTCTCAAAGGTCCTGCTTTCATTCCTGCCTTTCAGTGGGAGCTGCAACATTAAGTGCCTCTGAAATATTTCATAATTGAAGCCTTTAACACACTTCACATTTCAGACTCAGTAACAAGAAAAATATCTCTCTCCCAAGAGTAGAAACAGCATGTTGTGATCAAAGGAATTAGTGGCAAGTTCCTGTGAATTATTTCTGGGGATGTAATTCCCCAAATTGCTAATAAGCAATTGTCACTTTTCAAAAATCAAGGATTTTTTTTTTCTTCCGCTGCTTTCTTTCTCTTGGCTAGACTTGCTGAGAAACAGTAAACTTCCTTCTCTCTCACACAGCACCAGGAGAGCATTTCCTTTTGCTGACAACCCTTGCCTCTAATTCCCAGTGATCTGGCATTAGGGGTATAAACACTGAGTAGGCTTTTGATTCAGTTCTCTGAAGTTCTGGTGCTCCTGCAGAGTCCCCACAGGGGTCCACAATGGCAGGATCAAGGTCTGAGATGGTCCCCAACAGCCTTTGCTGATGCTGTGACCTTGCTGTGCAGATCTGCCATCACACAGGCAAGGAAAAATTGCAAGGGGCTGGCAACCTCAGGTGATGGAGAAGGGAGTAAACCACCTCTGCTGCCATTTCCAGATGCCCTTTCATTTCAAAAGAAGTGCTCCTTTCATCTCCTCACCAAAGGACCTTCCCCACCTATGATACTGATAACTATTTATGGAAAAGCTGTAGGCAAAGGGTAGTGAAGGAGTTGCTTCAGCAAGACAGAGCATAAAGATCCTTCTGTTCAGGGACCCTCTGGTCAGTCCCCCTCTGCAGTACATAAATCCTTGCCTGAGCAACTCAAGGCAGCCAGTCTGGAAAGATTTGCCCACAGACTGCACAGTAAATATAGAAACAGGCTATAAATTCCACAGCTTTGCATCCCGCCTCCTGGCTCCTAATTACCAGGGCCATGGTGGGATGGTGTTATTTCCAGCCTTGCTCTGTTAATAACCACCCATTTTCCATATAGATTTTCTTCTTCCAGGATATCAAAATGCCCCTTCCCCTCTGCTTGCCCACAATCCCTGAGCCTCTCACAATGCTCAGTGCACTTATCCCAAAGCCAGGAGGGCAGGGTACCATCTAGACTGGTACACGAAGTGATTTTCTGTGGGATGAGTTGGGAAACCAAGCTCCAGTGAAGCTCCTGCTGTTTACAAATATTTGCTTCATTTGGGGGACTAACAATAAAATACAGATATCTCATTATCGGGGGTCTGAATGACATTACAGCTGATTGAGCTAGAAGTGATTAAAGACTTTTGAAATACCGTCTCCCAAATGCCTTTAATGCTGTTTTTAAAAGTAGTTTTCCATTCGAATAGGGGAAAAAAAATGAGTGCTTTTGAAATATTTTACAAAAATTGTATTTGATCAAGATTGTGCAATTGGATTAGGTGGAAATCAGTTGGGGGCTTTGTTCATTTGCTTTTCCTGTCCAGGTTTAGTCATATGAAGAAAATCATTGTAGACAGTTTGTTCATTCTTCACTTTCTGGTAGCCCCCAGCTCCTGGCAGTACCACAGTTTCCTACTGTGCCTGGGATACCTGGTGCTTATCCCTGTATCCCTCTGTTTCGTCAGGAAGGTGTTTGGAAGCTTTGATAGCCTCCAGCTTCCTCGCTGCCCCGCTTGCACACAACCCCAAGTGCAAACAACTTCTGTGTCTGGAAAAAGTTGGAGGTGCTGACACCATTGCAGAGCACTGGTTCTCCCTGGAAGGCTGAGGATGTGGGTTTCACTAAATTTGCTGTTGTGGGTGTGGAAAAGGATATCCAGACTCATCCTGCCTAGGGGTTAGCAGGATTTAGAGCATCAGCTCCATGAGACTGAGAGTGGAAAATCTTGGAATGGGCACAAAGGAAGATTTGAGCTCTGTGACAGTTGGGAAGAACGCTGTTGGAAAAAGCCAGCAAAGAGAGTTTCTGCACTAACACTGACATCTTTTCTCTTTCATTTAGGGAGAACCAGGCCCTCCTGGTTTGCCAGGCCCACCAGTAAGTATTTTCTGGTCGATATTGACTTGTTCAACCTTTTGAGAGGGACACAGGGCATGAGCTGACACTTCCTGCCTCACTTTCCTCTTCACCTGCTGCAGAATTACCAAGAGTATGCAGGACTGGGGATGCTCAGCACTGGTCCAAGGGTCTAACACATTCTCCTACTTCATTGCTAACTGAGGATATAAATGAAATGAAATGAAAATTAAACAAATTAACGAAATAAAGCATCTGGTGCAGCACCAGTATAATGAAACTGGCACCAAGCCAGGTATACATGGTTATTTTTGGCATTGGTCTGAGTCTGCTTCAGCCCCTCACTCTGCCAGGGGGTGCTCAAAATTGTACCTGGTGGCACAGCTTTGGCCACCTGCTACATCCCTTTCTAGCCCCTGCTAAGAACAGCTTATGAGTATGTGGAACTGAGCTATAACACTGAAATGAATTCAGGATTTGGATATGGATTCGTAGCAAGATTCATCTCCTTTCATGGAATTCTTCCATGTTGCACAGTGTAAGACTGACACATCAACAAATGAGCTTCCCTCTTGTAGCCTGCATCAGTACATGCCACATTTCTCTTGTTATTATGTGGAAAATAATTGCCTGTTTATCTGATGTAGGGGCCAAAAGGTGCACCAGGGAAGCCTGGAGCAGCTGGTGAAGCTGGATTGCCTGGACTTCCTGGAGTGGATGTGAGTATTTCATCATCTTCTCTAAAGTCCTTTAAATATTTCACATAGGCACAAGTGTTTTCCTGAAGTGTCTCATCAACTTTTCTGTTTCTGCTGGAGAAGTAAAATTGGTCCTGGATCTACATATATGTGTTACATATCAGGAGCAATTTTAAGAGTTGAGGGCCTCTCTTGATTGAATTAAGGAGTGTGAGAAGAATTTTGAGGCACATAATTGACACTGTTTTGGTTTGTTTTTTTTTTATTTTACAGGGTTTAACAGGAACTGATGGCCCACCTGGCCCAAATGGGCCTCCAGGAGACCGTGTGAGTACCACATGAGATCCTAAATCCCTTTAAATGAACATTTTTCCTGATTGTACTGATGGTTTTCTCATTCCTATGTAAACTGGGGACATTCAAGTGTTGATTCTGATGTAAACCCTTGCAGAATACTTGGACCTTTGAAATGAAGTCCCAGGTGGCTTTTAATTAGGCAGGGCATGAGACCCACCTTTCTTTCACGTGGCCTTGAACAGGCTTGAGTTGCCTCAGTGTTGGGAGTACCAGTGCAGAACAACTCCAGTGATATTTCAAGTATCCAAAAAGTTTCTTGAAGCAGTCAACAGACTTAATTATGAAGTTTGTCAAAGTGAAGCTAATTTGGCCTTTATTTGCAGTCTGAGTAGGCAGCTCTGTTATGTTTATAATTACTGTTACTGTGGATTAATTATTTAAACTTTTGCCTTTCATTATTTCTGGGGCTGTCCATATGGTTGCATTATTAGTTGCTTGGCCATAGTGTTCCCCAACCAGCTTAGCAAGAAATAAGAGTTTTTTCTGCTTCCTGCATATTACAGCTCTGCTAAGGGGCACCACAGGGATAGAGTAATGACTGCCAGGGATGCTACAGATGTCCTTCAGATCATCCACAGTGGGGCCAGAAAGGTTCTTAGGCCTCCTTGTGACATTAAGGACTAAACCTTAATGAGCCACTCAGCACAGATTGTGATCCAGCATGGCTATTCTCCTGTGTCCCAGCTGGGAAGATGAGGCTTGTACCCACAGCTGGCTTACTGGCCTCTTGAACTCAGGGCTGCAGTGATGGGCTGGATGCAAATCACAGCACACAGAGGTTAAAAAAGGTGGATTTTGGTAACATGTATATCTCAATAATCTGTTTGTTGCCCCAAGGAGTTGCTCAAAGCACAAAAACCTACAGGCTGTCTCATTCAGTCAAAGGGCTGAGTGATACAGGCATGTGTGTTTGGAACGTTCTTCTTCCTCTCCCATGTGCAAGGTGAAGTTTGCGTGGCCACCGGGAATGTTGAGTGGCAGGACCCAAATATCTTGGCCACAGATCCAAGCATCTTGGTCACAGCTCCCAGTGCCTTGGTCACATTTCCCAGTGTCTTGGTCACAGCTCCAAGCCTCTGTCCATCACCACCACACTAAATCCCACTCCTTTCCTGTCCCTTGTGCCCATCTTTCTCCCCAGAGATCCAGAGCTGCAAAATCCTGGCCACTCTCAGACGGTCTGTGGCAGGAGTCCAGCACCTTCTGGGAACTGATCCCTGATTTCTAAACCAGAGAAGCTCAGGACCACACACAGTGGGCAGTTCTGTGCCCCTGTTCTGTGCTGGGTGGCCGTGTTTGCCCATGCCCACGTTAGCACACAGCTCCTGGCTCTCAGGGTAATTGAGCAGATAATTTCTGGGCACCAGAACTTCCTCTTCAGCTCTGTGGTGGGAGCACCCAGACAGAGTTGCCCTCGCTCCATGCTCTGGTTTGATGTGCTTTCCCACGTCCTGTAACTCAATCTGTCGGCATGGGGCAAACCTGGGACCTGCCATCATTCATGGGAGCTTTTCGGGGTCAGTGGTCCATCTGGAAAATTGTTTTAATTGGTCTAATAAAAACCTGGGAGAAGGGAAAACCTCTAAAAGCTTTGGTACTCTGAATGGACAGCGTTGTTATCCCGACTTCCTTTTTTCTCTCTGTCTTTTAGAACATATTTCAGTCTCACACGACTCACTGAAATAAGGTGTCTACTTACTGTTGGGGGCTTGAATTCATGCTTAACATGGTGATTTTTTTTTTCTAAATAAATTTATTTTTCTGGACTGGAGTGTCTGAGAGTGAAGCTGTTTAGGGAAGTGGGCTCATGGAAGCCAGTTTTCAGTAACACATTATTGCCCAACATTTCCTTTCCTCTCTCTGTCACATGCCTTCAGTCCTACAGTGATTCCCATCAGACCAGGGACACAGAGCAGTGCAGGCAGGCACACACAAAAGGGCTTTTATCTTCAATATCTCCTATTGCTCTCAGCATCCATTAGCTTTTCTCATGGTTCTGCTTACAGACTGATTAGATCAAGCCTGCTTGTTTTTCCAATTTTAGAAATCCTTTCTTTTCAGCTGGGAATGAGCTGGGTTCTTGCCTCTGTTCTAGATACTGGTGTCCTTCATTGGAAAGTTTTTGAAGGCCATTTTGAAGTTTGTTGCTTTGCACTGTAAGCAATAAGAAAAACGTACTTGTTAATTCTTATTTATGAATGTCATAATAATCAAGTATTTTCTATGCTCCATAGTTGTGTACTCACGAAGTTTATTATTATAAAGTGAAAATTATGATGATATTGTTTTCTAATCAAAGGAGAAAGAACATTGTTACCAGGAGAATGCTTTGAGTCAGACAATGTTATTAAAATTGAGATGTAAATTAGAGTCTCTCCTCTGAACTTGATGCAGTTGCATCAACTCAGGGACTTGATGATCTCTAATTGTACCAGGAGTGTTCACTGCTGGATGTTGCACTTTCTACGCTCCAAGATATCAAAATTAGGGAGTTTAAAGTGCATTTTGGGTGCTCTGCCAACGTTTTGGCACATTGGCCAAAGCAGAAAGGGGCGATGCAGCTGGTTTCAGAATTAGGGTGTGAGTCAGGAGGTGCCAGGAGTTCAATGTTTTCTTTGCAGGAAGAGATCCCAGCTTGTCCCTTTCAACCATCAGTAGTTGTAGGGACTTTCAGCCTCCAGATAAAAGTGGCTGGAGGACAAGCAGAGTAACCTGCAGCAAGAGAAATGAATGAGCTGACGTTTGCCCTGGGTTGATTTTTATTGGATTACAGTCCCCTGCTCACAAGACCACTCCTAATGAGGCCTTGGGTCCTCTTTCTCCTTAAGCTTAACAAGGCAAAGTATTTCTAATCTCCTTTGGTACGCAGAGCACTGGGAGGGGGCAGATGTCATCCCTGGGATCACAACAAGCAGCAGTGTGTGTTGGGATGTCTGCCAGGTCTGCCCATCCACCTTGTTCTCCTCATCCTAGGGGTAGACACCATTTAATTCTGCTTCGGGACATCCTTCTCAAGATGTTTCTGTGCAGCATTTTGAGGATGTTTGGGCTGGCAAGAGGCTGAGGGAGCCTCGTGCTGTCATTGCTTTGTCCCTGGACAAGGAGATGTCCCTGCTTTGTCCCTGCATCCCTCCAGTGCTTCTTTCTTTTTTTTTTTCTTTCCTTTTTTAAAGTTTTTTGAAGGAGTGACCAAATCACTCTGCTCTCACCAGCTGCCTGCCATGGCTTTTTCAAGGAGGGTGTCAGACCTGAGAGCATCAGTCAGCAAAACACACCCAGTGTTTCTTGGCTGGGTCAACCCCCCCACTGGAATTTTTTTTTTTTAAATTTTGGTTGGGTTTTGGTCCTGGTGGGTTTGGTTGGTTGGTTGTTGTTGGTTGTTATTAGCGGCAGGTGTTGGTTGGGGGGGTGGGGTGGGGGGGTTTGTGGGGTTTTTTGTTTGTTTGGGGTTTTTTTGTTTTGTTTTGTTTTGTTCATTTTTACATTTCCATTCACTGGGGGTGGATGAGGAGGTGACTGAGAGCTTATGGGTCAGGATTAAAGAAAAGGGACAGCTTGAACAGGGCTTGGGGCAGCCTGGTCTCATGGAAGGTGTCCCTGCCTGTGGCAAGGGGAGCAGAACAAAATGATCTTTAAGGTCCATTCCAACCCAAACCATTCTGTGATTCTGTTTCAGAATTACTACCTAGAATTAATTTTACAGTCTGGCAGCCAGTTGGCAACTCTGCAATACAGCAAAGGGGTTAAGGAGGTCTCTCTGTCTTCTTATCTTTAGCCAAGCAGGAACTTAACAACTTCAAGAGTGACTTAATAAGATCACCAAGCTCTAGTCAGGCCTAAGAGTAGGAATGAAAATTCAGAAAAGGAGATGGGGATTTGCTAGAAAGGAAGCTCATGAAGAAGCAGAAGCTGCCAAATCCTTGCCTTTGCTTGAAGGGAAAATGTATGGATTAATAAAATTCACTAGGATGAGTCCAAATTTTGTGAATAGTTTCAGATAATTTAGTCATGGGACCAACAATATGAATGTGTTATGAATGAGAATATTTCAAACAGATATAATTCAGTTTATGAATGTTTAGATGTTCATGGAGACTACTCTGAGGCCAACTGGGACTTCCAGAAGTGTCTCTTTAATCTTTTAGGAGCAAATGGTGAAGAAAGTTGCAGGGGCCAGTTCTGAACATCCGTCACCACTATCTTAAAATGTTCTTTAATCAAGCAATTAATCAGGAATGGCAGAGTCATTATTATCCATAAATTTCTGTCCTTATATTTGTGAATTCAGCTGAGCATCTCCAATTGTGTCCTGTTTCTGCAGGACACTGCTGGAATCTCCAATCAAAGATTGGTGTCAAGGAGAGCAGGCATTGTTGACTACCCATACGGAGGTGTCTCTTTTATTTCTGCTAATTTGTATCCTGTTTTATTCCCATAGGGTGCATTAGGACCTGCTGGGCCACCTGGACCAGCTGTAAGTACCTCCCAGAACAGCACAAAAAATAGAAGTGTGTAATATTATGCCAAAACCATCACCAAGAGAAGACGGGAAACTTCATATCCCAGACAAAGGGATCAAAGCCTGAATGAGTGAATATATTATTTCAAGTGCTTGAATATGTATGTATGACCTGTTCTGGTAACACAGGGCCTGTTTTTGGTCTCTGAGATGCTATAAAGCAAACCAGCTTGGGATGCAGACTAACATACCAAATGCTATTGAAATTATTAGGCATTACCTAATGTCTAATAAAAATTAAAAGGAAAAAAAGGAGAAGCAGATAAACTAGAATGTTGTCCTCCTAACTCTCTGTGTCCCACTATCGTGTCCCTGTACGTTGCTTTTCTTAGAGACATCTCATAGGTAACAGCAGTGTAAGGGGAATACAAATTATTAGAGGCAACAAAAGGGTTTATCAAGACATGAGCTCTGCTCTGATTGCAAATTATAATAATTAGGGACAGGGGAGTGCTAAGAAAAACTTAGAAGAGAAAAAAAATTTAAGCAGCATTTTCAGAGGTTTTCTTTTCTTCCTGTGTGTTCAGTTTCTAAGTGTTCTTTTACTGTTTTAAATGTTGTTTCCAGGGCAAAGGACTACCAGGACCTCCAGTAAGTAATAGGAATATTTTTTCAAAAAAGAGTTTTAAATTATTGTTTTGGCTTTATTGGATACCCTGAGTGTTACAAACCCACCTCAGGCCTTGGGTCCCTCTCCTGTGCCAGGCAGAGGAATGTGGAGTCCTGCAGGTCACTGACCTTGTGTGTTTTCTATCCTGGCCCTTAATGTGGGAAAACTGGTAAATACAAGGCACAGCAGCCTTGTAATCACTGGAAGTGTCCAGTTCTGGGGTAGCTTTAGTCTGGTGGGTTTCTGGGGCATTCCAGGGCTGCCCCGTGTCTGAGGGATGCAGACTGGCACTGCACAGTGGTGCCAGGAGTGTGTTCCATTGATGTTCACTGGTAAGCTGATGGTCTGGGTGCAGGAGGGAGCTCCTCGGGAGGACTGGGCAAGTGGGTGCAGCCAGACTGTTTGCTGGGCCCTGGGCTTTGGGGTGTCAGGGTCAGCACGGGTGTGAAATCTCTTCTCTCTGTCCAACAGGGGCCTCCAGGACCCAGTGGGCTCCCGGGTGGACATGGATTTCGGGGCCCTTCTGTGAGTTTCTCCTGCCACTTACTCCTCATTTTCTGACTGTGTCACAACCACAGAAGAGTGAGGTTCACTTCTGGTCTCTTACCCCACTCTGAAGTGAGATGCACAAGACACTATGAGCCCCACAAATGCCCATGGGCTGCTGTTCTTGCGTCAGCTTATGCAGGGTCACCCCAGTCAATCACTGCAATGACAAGAATGTGCAGCCATATCTTCCTTCACCAGCTGGGAGTAAGGACAGAAGAGCAGCCACTGTCACTAGAACAGGGATTAGATACCAGCTGGTGTGTACTTTCAGCATCCTCAAGGAAGCCACTGCACAGAACAGGACTGGTCTGGGTGACCCCCTTCTGCAGAAGCACAGCATGTTTTTGAGTGCCCACAGCTCCACTGGAGAGGTGCAGAGCCAGTGGAAGCAGGGATATGCCCTTCTGTCCTAATCCCTGTTCTTCCATGTGCATCTGGTTCTCTCCCTGCAGTCACAGAAGCCTCTGCAGAAGGAAAGGTGCAGTTTAGCCCCATTTGAGATATGTTGTCCCACATTCAAAATACACACTGGTATTTGGTATCCACGATTCACATCTCTTTACATTTCCCTTGAAGGGGAATTCTTATGATCTTTCTCTCTTTTTAGGGACCTTTTGGTCTGCCAGGATTCCCAGGACCTCCTGGACCACCTGGACGTCCTGTAAGTTGAGACTTGCAAATAAATGTGAGAAAAGCTGCGGGGGGAGTCTCGAATTTTCTCCTTGCTTCCATAACGTGCCCTTTTTATTTGCTGCCATCGCCATGAGCATTCAGCAGCCCATAAACACCCTGCCCCGAGGAGAGCAGTGACTTTTCCATGGTTGCACTTGGATCTGTTGATCTCCTGTTTATTATTTGTGCTCTGTGAGTGGAGGAACCCGGTGACAACCCAGCTTTGCCCCACACCGAGCACAGGGTGGGCTTGCTGTTCTCTCAAGGAGGGTTTATGTGGTTGCTTGGATCATGATCTGTTCTTGTAGGGCCAGCAAGTGAGGCTTGCAGCCAGCAAGTCTCTGGTTTGGGTTTGCTGTGGCCTCTCTGGGGGGTTGAACAGTGGGATCTGGAGGTCTTTCCCAAGGAGCTTTCCCCAGGCCAGGAGGAAGTCAGGTACAGCTGCTGCTCTTTAATTGCTGCCTTCATCACCTAAGGCTGAAGGCTTTTAACCAAGCCCAGCTGTGCATCTCCAGAGGATGGTTACACCCCTGATGTGTCTGTTTTGGGGGACTGGTGCAGCTCATAATGCTCCAGGTTCAGGCTGTAGGTGGGTCTGGATATGTGCCTTATGCTGATCCAGCTGAGCTGGGTCTGTAAAGTGCATTTCCTAGGAATTGTGTTTCTACCTGGTGTTTGTCTTGTTGTATTTAAAATCCCACATTTCCTGAATTGCAGGGTCTTCCAGGCACCCTTCCCGACGGCGGTGGGGACCTTCAGGTAGGTTTATTTTATGTAGCATGAAAATATGTTTTGGTTTAATCCTTGATGTGACTTTTGGTTGTCATACTTGGATGAGTCTCAGACCATTTAACACAGATTTAGACCTGCAGATGTGGGTCTAAATTACCTCACCACAGAATGCACCAGAGTGGTGTGTGTATTTACAAGATTTAAATGTTTTTTCAGGGAGGTAGATACGCACTGGAATAGGTTTCCCAAAGAAACTGTGGCTGCCCCATCCCTGGAATTGTTCAAGGCCAGGTTGGACGGGGCTTGGGGCAACCTGGGCTAGTGGAAGGTGTCCCTGCCCATGGCAGGGAGGGGTAGAAGGAGATGAACTTTAAGGTCCCTTTCAACCCAAACCATTCTGATTCTAGTGCTGATTTTTTTTCCTTGATCTTTGCCTTCCAAAATGCACATTTTGCATACATCCTTCATTTACAGAACAACTTCAGCATTTGGTAAATGACAACAGCTTTTCATGAATGTTTCTAGTCCTGCTTTGCCACAGAAAAGGTTGTGTGTGTGGCACTGTTTATTTCCATGGATGGTGGCACCAGGTTCCTATGGGCATATGCTTTGGTCAGGCTTCTTTCCTTAGGAGAAAGCCTTGATTCCTTTCTTTCAGGGGAATGAAAGGAGTGTTGAGCCCATGAGCGATGGGAGTGACATTTGCAGATTTCACAGCTGTTGTTGTGACAGCTTCTTTGGTTTTCTAATTGATGTGCCCCAAAAAAAGCTCAGAGTCAGTTCAGACTGCCTTATGGCACATCACGTGGAAGTTAATAGAAAATGATGCTATTTCTGCAAGTTTAATTTAAGTTACTCTGTGGAATATACTAGAAAATTAAATTTCTGCTACTGAGGTGTTGCCTGAGGTTTTATTAAAAGGAAAAAAAACAACAAACAAATAAAAGAAAGGCTGTGGAAGAAAATCTCATTCCCTATTTATGAAGTTTTTAGAGTATGGCCCTTTTCTCCATTAAATTTCCATGTATGTTCTGATTTATTCCCAGTCAGAGTTCCCACCAGGAGTTCACCCACCCCTAAACATTTGCAGATACCAGCTTATAGGTATTGGAGTTATTTTTCTATTGGTCCCCTTCCAATAAACTCTAATACATGTCATTGTTTCACTTAGGGAGTTGGCTGAAGGAAATCAATAGGGGTCAATCGATGCAGAGGATTAAATATGTTCCTAATGATTTACAAGGGACCAATCCAGATTCACTGGGGAACTCAGATTCTTCAGCATTTTTGACTGTGGATACTGTGAACTTTCAGAATGTCTCACAGCCCACGCTCAAAGTGAAGCAGTCCATTCATAAATTGTTATTTTATGGGTTGCTGGGGGTTGAGACCTCTAGGACCCCTTTCCGTAGGGAAATGCTGGTCAATACATGATGCTGTGATTCCATCAGATTTAGTGGATTTAGAGCCCAAACCCACATGACCTTTTCACCTCTCCCTAGGAATGAAAGCAGCCTCCCTGGATGTGCTGTGTGTGTTTGCTGAACCACATTGTTTCTGTTCCTTGCAGTGCCCAGCTCTGTGCCCACCGGGTCCCCCAGGTCCCCCAGGAATGCCAGGGTTCAAGGTAAGGAAACACCACCTGCACGAGGATCTGTGTCCCAAAATAAACCCCACTATGAACCCCTGGGGTTAAACTGCTGTGTACACAGTCCATGTCTCCTGTAGGCTCCATGCATTTGCCTGATTTATTCCTACAAATGAAATTTAACCCTTGGCATAGGGTGAGCATGGATTAAAACACCCTGCAAGCCCTGTGGGGCACAGCTGATGGACAGGAGCAAGCAGAGGCAGCAGTTCAGGGCTGCCTTTCCAAGACCTGAGAGCTGTAAAAATCTCACCTGTTCTTCAGTTGTGCTCACAGGGGAGCAGATCTTACTGGAGCAAAACATAACTTATATAATTAAATACAATTTAATTGTTGTTTTTATAGCCAGTGTACCACGAGGCAGCTTTTTGTTTATGTTGTTGGGCTCTGGTACATAAATTCAAGGTTTCAACCCTCAGGAAATCTCCCTCAGCAGCCAAACATCTCCTCTGTCCTCTCTTCACATGGAGTCTGTGCAGTGGGTTACACTCCTGCAGTGAGACTAAGTAATAAGTGACTCCAGTTCTTTCAGCAGGATTGGCAAGGAGTGGGACAACTCCTGGGAAATCTTCTCAATTCCTCTTGAGCTGACCTTTCTTGGGTCTGTTTGGTCTCTGCACTGAGTCATAAATATCATTACAAGTACACAATATTTAGGGCATAACTACTCAAAATTCATAGCTCATGAAATGGAAAAGCCTGAGAAGCTCTCCAGTTATGATGCAAATGATGCACAGGACCTTATTTGTGGTGAGGAATAACATCTGCCATGGCTGAAGCCAGTCTGGATGTCTCCCACAATGATAGGAAGGGAGCCAAGATGCAAACTGAATCAGAGTTTTATATAAAAGATTTCAGTGAGACTTGTATTTCTTTGCAAGCTTGATGATGGAGATATTAAAGATGACTTAAAAAAGGAGGTTAAAGATGCAGAATGGGGTTTTCAGAAGTGACTCAGCCCCATTTTCAGAGGTGATGGGAACTGAGTTCTGCTTCCTGATCTGTATTTGAGAATTGCATCCTGAGACCCACAGCCTGCAAGTCACTTTGGAAAACCAAATCTGGGCATTTCCTGAAACTACATCATAACTGGTACCTAACACAGGAATGGTACATGGATAGCCACCCCCAGAAGTGATCTCTGTACACACTTATAGATTATTTTCCCCATAACTTCTTCATGTTATGGGGATTTAGGTCTTACAGCTGTCTCACAAAATTTAAATTTTGAAACAAGACTCTATTGGGATGTGAATAATCATAACTCTTATTTCTAGGGACACACTGGTCACAAAGGGGAACCTGGTGAAATAGGAAAACAAGGAGAGAAGGTAAGCTTTGATTTAAAAGGGATGGGGGAAGATTTTTCTCTTTAAAAGCTCCATAATAAGTGATTTTTCAAGAAGACAGGGAGAAATAAGGCAACTGGCTGAACAAGGAGAAGTTACTATGACTGAAGTGCTTTGACTTCCATTGCTGTGCCTGTAGGACCACGTGCTACCTCTCCAGGAAAATTCATCTTCCCAATGATCATCATGTTAGGATCAGTTTGAGTTGACACCTGTTGTTTCCCATGCAGGGGTGTCAGCTCAGGAAAAGCCCTGCATTAATCACTTGGATAAATTCCTGACTGATCCAAATGTTCTTGCATGTAGAAGAAATTGCCTATAATTCTGAAGAGAAATGTGGGAGGGAGGTCCCTGGCTGTGTGTTGAGCCTCTCTCTCCTCTTTTCTAATTGATTTTTCTCTCCCAGGGTAACCCTGGCCCTCCTGGTCCTCCAGGCATTCCAGGCAGTGTTGGCCTGCAGGTAACACCTCCTCTTCTGCCCAATTCCCATGACCTTTTCACTGTGGAACTCGATGGAGCCATCAATCACCTTGGTTACACAAACAGCTCTTGCCTCTGCAGAGTTACAGATGTGAAAACTGATGCTGATGAAAAAACAAATCGTGCTGTTTCCCTGAGCTTTAATTTAGGTCTGCTTTTGGTACCTCACCTTAGATGAGAGCTGGGTTCCTGGCAGAGCCCTGGACACCTTTTTTGGTGGACCTGAGCTCTGGGCTGGCTTGAGAGCTTGGGAGGTGGGCTGGAGAGCACGGGGATGCTGAATGTCCCACATGGGCTGTCAGCACAGTGTCACTGCTCAGGGGTTGTCACCAAAAGGGTGTCCTGTTTGTGCATCAGAAAGTTGAGCTTTCTGCTGTTCCTCACTATTTCTAAATGTTTTCTGTGTTGATGAGTTTTTACCTCGTGCTGTTCTGCCCTTTTGTGTTGAACAGTGGTTGAGTTTTAACTGATTTGCTTTCTTAATTAGGGCCCGAGGGGACTGAGAGGCCTCCCTGGTCCAATGGGTCCAGCTGGTGACAGAGTAAGAAAAACCTTCTGTTTTTTTCCCCTCCAGCACCAGTTTGTCTTGTAAGAGGTGCCATTTGCACTTATCCTTACTGAATTCCACTGGGAAACTTGTACAGGTATAAAGTGTGGGCTGTGCACCCCCCCACCAGAACAACCTTCCAAAGTCAGGGGAATCCACATTTCCAGGGTGCTGGTGGGGTCAGAGCCAGCCACACTGAAATATTCCAACCAGAAGGACAAAGTGCTGTCCCCACGAGGCTGACAATGCTAAAGAATCTTGCAGAATAAAAAAAAAAAAAAAAAAAAGAGGAAGGTTTCATTTCACTTTTTGTTCTGTCTCTTTACAAGAAAAAGCCAAAGAAACACTGATGGACAAAGACTTTCAGGACATGAGAAGTCTCCTCAGTGAGAACAGGGTTAATCTCCAGCTCTTTGTGGCTTTGGACTCTTGTCATGGTCTCTTGACCAGTAGCCTGAATGGTTTTGAATTTGATGAAGACATGCATTTATTTAGGAATAAATGTGTTACCAAGAGAGCAAGGCCATGAATGGTATCAATGTATCAGAGAGATAAAGGTGGGGAGATCCAGAGTTAAAACCTGTTGTTCAGAGGGGGATCTTTTGCAAGTCTGTTCTGCAAACGAGGAGGAAATCCGTGGTGTCTTTGTGTTTTGTCAGGCTGAGGTACAAGGTGGGGATACTGTTACTTCATCCTCTGCCAACCACAGCATTACAGTGATGTCTGTTCTTTGCAGGGTGACATTGGTTTCAGAGGCCCACCTGGAATCCCAGGACCTCCAGGGAAAGCTGTATGTATCCACTTCCCAGGCTCTCTACGGCTCTGACTTCCACAACCACAGCCTGAAGTTTATTCCTCCTGCTCTAAGCCCTGCTGCCAGTGAACAGGAGGGTGTGCTGACCACCTCCATCAGATTATTCCCTTTGCCCTTTTCCCTCCAGTGAGAGCAATGTTGTTTCACCTGGCCCAGACCTCGTGATGCCTTTCCTCCAGTTGTTCCCCATGCCAGAATAAGTTCCCCTCGTTTCCATTGCTCTCTGTGCTTCACTGCCCTTCCCTGAGCATCAGCAGCTGGAGAGGGGAATATGTGTTACTTTTGGAGGAAGAATCAGCATTATTCTGAGCTTACATTCTTTGAGCCTGGTCTGTTCCCAGGTGCTCACAACTCACAAGGATTTTTGCTACAAGCAGGAATAGCTGTGAATTGAAGATGGAATCCTCATCCTTTTGCCAAGCTCTGGGGTGAGGTGTAGGAGAACACCAAACCTGCACACTGGGCAGACTCCTGTACCCTCCTTAGTGTAGCCAAACAGGACCTGAGCTGCACCTGCAGCACTGTGGCCTCTCTAAGAGCATTTTCCACTGTCCTGTCTGTCTTATTGTGGATATTATTTCCACCCTGGCTCTATCATATTGTGGATAATAATGGCTTTAAGCTGAATGAGGGCAGACTTAGCTTAGATATTAGGAAGAAATTCTCCCCTGTGGGGGTGGTGAGGCCCTGGTACAGGTTGCCCAGAGAAGCTGTGGCTGCCCCATCCCTGGGAGTGTCCAAGGCCAGGTTGGATGTGGCTTGGAGCAACCTGGGCTAGTGGATGGTGGAGGGTGGAACAAGATGGTCTTTAAGGTTCCTTCCAACCCAAACCACTGTGGGATTCTATGATAATATGGCATCTGCTTTACAGCAGGTACCTCCACCTGCCCACAGCAGCCAACACTGACCCTGAGGCAGTCCTACCCTCTGGGGACCCCTCCCTAGTCCTTGCAATTATAGATGAAATTCATCCAAACTAAAATAAAATCAGGCATTTTCTCACCAAACTTTTCATTATGCCAGACAGTATCTAGACAGTAAATATTAAAGTTTTTCGCCCACTCTATTTCTGCTTAACGAAATCGCTTCATTAAATGAAGGGGAAGAAGGTCCCTGCCCTGAGGGACTGTTGGCAAAGTCCCTGCTGTAAAAAGTGTGTCAGGAATCACAGAGTGTAACTGAGAAAGTACAACTGAGCTCCTGGGGGAATGTGTGTGCTCACACCTCTGATAACACCAACAAACAGCACAGAACCCTCCTCGTTCCACCCTCAAAACCTCAGTCTTGTCACTGTGTGATGAAGGTGCTGAATGGCTTTTCCTCCTGTGTCACAGGGAGAACAAGGAAGCAAAGGACCTCAGGGATTCCGGGGGCCCAAAGGAGATTCTGTAAGTGCTCCAGTATGGGATGTGACATCCCAAGGAATCGGTTTCACAGGTTTATTGTGGCTTGTGCCCCCTTGGTTTGCTTGAAAGGGAGGTGAAAGAGATGAAAGTATCCTCTCAAAAATGAGATGTTTAACTCTTATTAAAGATGCCTGTTTAGTAAGGTGTCGAAATGCTGCTACAGCCTGGAGCAAAGGGATCAGATCCTACATTCCCATTCCTTGAAACAATCAAGAATTTTCCCAAATGTTGCAGCCAGCATTGGGCCAGTTTTATGGTGTGTCCCAAAAGAACCTCCAAACCTATGTGAACAGGAGAGGTTCAGCCCAAACTGAATGAAATGTCCCTGGAGAGTTTGAGTATTATCTTTGTTGACAGATGGTTCTTTAGAGTTGTGTCCTGGCTAATTCAGGATTTATTGTTGATTTCTAGGGTAAACCTGGACCAAAAGGAAACCCAGGGGCTCGTGGACTCATAGGAGAACCTGTAAGTCAATTAAATAGGATACAGGTCTCACTGGTGTCTTGCTTGCAGATCAGGAGATAAAACATAATTGGAAAAAAACTGTTTCTTGCCATCTTTGCTGCCAAACTTGTGCTCTGGGTCTCTGTAACCTCCAGTGCAATCCCAGTTGGACTAAACTCCAGTTGTACTGCTGTTAATGAAAATCCTCCCAGTACAACCCAATGCCCAGAGGTTCTTTGATGTGATTGTGTTTTGCAAACCACAGAGCCTCCTCCTGACCTTAACATGTGCTGTGCATGGTTGCAGGGCATTCCTGGCAAGGATGGGCGGGATGGAGCTCCTGGACTCGATGGTGAGAAGGTTTGTAAAGTCCTACTTAAACACTGCAGGAAAGATTCCTGTGACTGTGCCCTGAGTGCTGCAAAAGCCACTGATCAAGAAGAGCATGGCTGGAAAGCTTTTGCTTCTAAAAAGTTTCCTAATAATGTCAATAGTGAAGGAGAGTGAAGTTGCTTCTATTAATTGATCCCAAGGAAATTCCCCAAGTGAAGAAGGTGCACAGATGATGTAAGGTCAGCTGTGTCCCTGTATTTAGTGGTTCCTCAAGGCCTTCAGAGATGCTTTTTCAGAGCTGTTGACAGAGTCATCTGTTTATTTCAATTGCCTGTCAGGTACTCATTGCCTGGTTTTTGAACAGTGATCCCTCAGGAACATGGAGGGTGTGCTGCCAGGGAAGGCTGGGAGCTGCAGAGAAACACCTGGGAGCTCATGTCCAGTGGGGGCTCACCTCCTGTAGGCACAACAGCTCTGGGTCCTGGGGAGGGAGAAGAGTACAAATGCCTGTTTGGGAATGTGTCCCCTCCCTGTGTCAGACTATTTCCCAGTGCTGGAGGATCCCTCCTAACCTCTCACTGTCCACAGGGTGATGCAGCTCCAATGGGTGCTCCTGGAGAGAAGGGGCCAAACGGACTTCCTGTGAGTATGGAGCAGGACCTGCCACCTCTGGGGTTCCAGCAGCTCAGTCTGCCTGCAGAGATCCCTCCTGGGGACAGGGGAGGGTCATTTCGTGTGTTGTTTCACAAGGGGCCACAGTTAAGCCAAGAGGAAATGCCCTTTTCCCACTGTGCAGTCAGGGAAGCAGTGTATAGGACAGAATGGAGAACACCTGGAGTAGCCCCATATTCTAACTCCATGGCTGTTGGCCTCTCTGATTCTATTTAAAATCTAAATTTCAGAGAGATTTTCTCTTTCATGTCCCAGTGATGTGCATTCCCTATGCAGGGAGGTAAGATCTGGGATATAATATCCTGAGCTCTGTCCTTGGTTTACCACTGTTTATTGACAAAATGTTTCAACTATTTAAAAGAGGTAAAGTATTCCTTTCTTCCTGTATTACACAATATTTTGAACAGCCCTGGAGAGACCTTTCTGCTTTGCAAAATGTTGCTGCTGTTGGTCTATTTGCATATTTTTCCTCTTTGCTCTAATGCCAAGGATTAGTGTTTGCAGAGCTGCAAGGGCAGTGAGCAGGAGAGAGATTGAAGTCATAATTTGCACAGTGAAAGCTGCAGAAATCTAAATCCTGCATTGCTTCAAGTAAAGGTTGCTCCTTGTGTGTCAAATCAGACCACAATAACAAATTTAATAACTTCACTTCTTCTGACATTGCTTTAATATAATTTTTTTTTCCCAGGGACTGCCTGGAAGAGCAGGTATTAAAGGCTCAAAGGGTGAACCAGTAAGTGGATGTCTCTACTGATGGGTTTTGGTAGGGAAGCTGGTCACAACAAGGCCTTTTAGCTTTAGGGTATTGGGAGGACTTACCCCAAAGTGGTGGTGTCAGCATTTCTGCTGGGGCTGAGCCCCTCTGACAGTGAGGAGCAGGAATTATGTAAAACAAGTGGGCTGGCCTTGCTTTTGCCTCTCATTCAGTGAAGACATAGCAGGTGCACAGGAGGGTCATCAGTGGTTCAGTAAACCTCACCCTTTGGTCGAAGTCCCAGGGGCATCTCTGGGAATCAAAAGCCTGAGCACCTGCAAGCAGGAACAGGATTCTCTCTTCTTGCCTTCTATACCTGTACTTTCCCCCCCACCTCAGGATAAAACCTTCCATGGAGCTTTAGATTGGCACCTACCTGTGAGATAAAAGAAAACCTCAGACAGACAAAGCTATTCTGAAAAGCATCTTTTTTTTCTCTCCCTCCCCTTCTTTCTGAATTTCCCCCTCTGCACCTGCATCATTGTTCCTGCTAATCCTCATGCAGGAGAGCATGCAGGAAGGCATTTCTCCTGACATGAGGGTGATGCAGGAGTGAATGTGATGAGGTGTCCTGAGGACACCTCCAGAATAGCATCCCTGTCTCACTGGTCCCCTTCAGTCCCATGAGGGACATGGTGACACTGCCCTGGGGCTGGCAGAGCCCTCCCTTGTCACTGTCCCAGGACAGGATGTGCAGCTCAACTGTTCTTTACATGTCTGGGGTTGGGAGTTTTGTCTTAAAACTGCAAAAGTTAAAAGCTGTGTTTATTCCCTGACCCAGGTTTTAACTCCCTCCTCCTTTTGTTTGGGTAGAACAGAAACGACTCTCTGAAGTGATGCCCTAACTGAGTGTTTGCTTTCTGCTCTGCAGGGCAGTCCTGGAGAGATGGGAGAGGCAGGTCCCTCAGGAGAGCCAGGCATCCCTGTAAGTATCCCATCATTTGCACGAGCATGAGCTCTGCTGAGTGACTTTTAAACCAAACTGTGAAGCTGGAGCTCATGTGCTGCTTCCCTGCACAAATAACGATGCAAGAGGTGCTGAGCTGCCTGCAATATGTGCAATCCCATGGGATTGAGCACTGCAGGCAGTCCACAGGGGTGTGGAGCTCCCCGGGGAGCTGGACAGGCAGACACCTCCGTGCACAGATACTGTGCTGCAGCAGAGGGCAAAGCCTAGCAGGTGTGGAGGAGAAGATGGGCCAACGGGGCAGGGAGTTTGGGACTGAAACAGCCTGGGATCCAGGAATGCCTTCTGGCTCTGCAGTGGGGAGGGAAGGGTGGATTCATGGCTCCTCAGTGCCATGGCTGACTGCAGTGTTCTTGCCAGGGCGATGTTGGTGTTCCTGGTGAGAGAGGGCTGCCGGGACCCAGAGGAGCAACTGTAAGTACAGCACTGCCTGTAAATCACCAAAATAGAGTTTGTGTATGGGGTTACTCTCTGGCTACAGCAAAAGGCCACATTCTCTCTGGGGAGTTTTGGCAGCAGAGGAATGTGTCCCCCATAAGTGAGTCAGATCCTGTTCTCACTGACAGCTCCCTGCAAATGCCAAGTGATCCCTCCCATTTCCCTTGGCAAAGGAAGCTGCACTTGTCCAAGAGGTTTGAGGAGCTGCTACAGTCTGACAGGAGAGACTGGACAGCCAGCAAGCCCCTCATTAAACAGGAATAGTAAGGCTCTGCTTGTGCTGAAGTGAGCCACTAATGAAGCAAAGCTGCTGGGAAGCTGTTGCAGTGTACACTGAAACCTCTCCATTTCTTTATCACTGTCCTTGGAGCAGGGAAGAGGGATTCACTGCACAACCTGAAGCCATACACACAACAAAACTGAAAATAACTGCATGTGTCCCCCTGCCATGTCCCTGCTCCAGAGCAGAGATGATAATCAATAATATCAGGATGGCAAAGCCCTGATTTTGATCACACTACTAAAAACACTTGGGTACCTTTTCTATCTTGTCCTCCCCAGCTAGTGCTGGTGCTGGGGTTGTACCTGACATTCCAATGGTTTTGTTGGGCTTTTTTTCTTTTGTTTTTTTTCCTCATCTTATACTCATTTTGAAATCCAGGAGCCTACAACAAGTCTAATATGATTTCTAGTATGTACCACTTGGAAGGAATTGAACTGTGGGATTTATTGTTTGTGAGCAGCTGCTCCTGAAACTTTCAAGGAGAGGGAAATCAGCCTTAGAAATAAACTCTAGTAATAATGTTTGCTTTTATGACTGCAGTTTTTCATCGAAATACCTGGCCCCACAAAAGGTACCACACTATTATAGCCAAAAAGCAACAGTAGTTGAGCTCATTGCATTGGTGCAGAGTTCTGACAGGGGTTCAATAGCAGCTGAACCCATGGTTATGTGTAACCTGAGCTCCTAATTTCTGATTTGTATTATTAGAATAATAATTTATTAGTTAAGACTGTGCTATTCTAAAAGAGTTGCAGGATTTTTCTAGTGTTAAGGCTGTTTGGCTCTAAACAATTTGGGGGTTTTTAGCCCAGTGTACCAAGGGTTTCTCCCCATTCAGAGCCTGTCAGGTCCCACCACATTTAAAGGCACCAGCGCAGCAGAATTATTTTTGATGCAATTTAACTTAACTTTCCTAGAGCTCTGTATTTATAAATAAAGTTCCTTAAATGAAATTAAAGTTCCTGAATAAATTACAAGCAAAAAACAGAAGTGAAAACACTAACCACAAAAATACCCAAGCAGTTCTATAGCTTTTGGAGGACGATGCTGCTTTATTTCAGTGGCCAGTTTGAAGCTTATTTGTGTCCCTGAATGCTTCACCCCCCCAGGGATGGCTGTGAAAGGAGGCAAAGCTGCAGTCCCTCCTCGTGACAGAAGCTTGCTGAAGGCATCTGTTTCAAGAAGACAGTTTACAAAATGGGATTTAGGTCCCTAAATTACTTAAAGGGGTGTTTTCATCTCAGATCTTTATTGGATATGTGATTTTTCTCAGAAGAAAGCACTAGAGACTCCTAATGGTAATAGTCATGTTCTGTCTGGTGAGCTCCTGAAAGCCCCTGCACTAACAGCATCAGCTGCTGCTTTTTTCTATGTTGTTGGGACCAAGTATGTCCAAGCAAATGGATGCAATTGCCATTTTTCATCTCCAAGGGCCTGCAGCACATGTTTTGCAGTAGTTCCTTGCAATCAATTCAAAGCATAGTATTGAAATAGTGGATCCCCTTTAATGGATATTGTCTATGCTGCCACATTTTGCTGTCATTGATTGTTACTACTCATCAGTGTGGTATGTTATTAAGCATTAATTATACAAATAAGCATTTCTAATAATAATAATAATAATAATAATAATAATAATAATAATAATAACAATGCTGAGAAAGCTCAGTGAACATCAGACATCACTTTACAGTGGTATCAGCAATGCCACGGGGCAAAGTGCTGCAGTACAGAACTGCCCACTGTCTCTCTGCCAATGTAACTGCACAAGTGACTTACCTGGCCCTGAATTTGCTCCTCACCAAAGCTGATCTTTCTCTTTTCAGGGACCACTCGGTCTCCAAGGCCCTGTAGGAGCCCGTGGTGTCCGAGGTTTCCAGGTCAGTGTGATGACAGAGGTAATTTAATGGGCATCATGTTTGGGCAGGTCACTGTTTTCTGCAAACCTCTGGCCAGAAAATTGTGTGATGGCAATGAGGGGTAGGAAGAAACATCTTTCCATTTGCCAGAACTAGTCTGACAACTTTAGAAAGGACACAAGCCCAGATAAGCTGCCTGCCAGAACCATTTATGTTTAGCACTTGTTTGTAAAGGAAGGGTTGGAGTTTTGAGCCCATTCTTGGGCACAGGTTGCCCAGAGAAGCTGTGGCTGCCCCATCCCTAGAAGTGTTCCAGGCCAGGTTGGACAGGGCTTGGAGCAACATGGTCTGGTGGAAGGTGTCCCTCTCCATGGTAGAGGGTTAGAACAAGCTGAGCTTTCCAACCCAAATTGTTTTATGATTTTTCAAGTTTGACCTCTGTAAAGACACCTCAGTTTCTCCTTGATCTGGGCCACTCTCAGCCTGTATTTCTTCAGTGAACTCCTCCTCCTCTCTGCTGCACTCACTGAGGACTCCCATATTTCTCTCTCCTGTCTCCAAGGGAGTGTTGAAGCATGCAGGGTTTCCTGGCACTGTAAGCTGCAGCTTGGTTTTTGTTGTTTTCCTAACAGGGTCCCAAAGGTGCCAGTGGTGAACCTGGCCTTCCTGGTCCAACTGGAATCCGTGGAGAGGCAGGTGACAGGGTAAGGAGAAGCCATCTGTAACTGATTCCTGTTCGGGATATGAAACTAGAGTGTAACGGGGGCCCAAAACTTGGTGTAGCTGATGTCACCCCAGCAAACAAACAGGTTTGTACATTTGGTGTCCCAGTCCCTTCTCTGAGGCTGCTGCCCAGGATGGACCCTATGGCAGGTAACAGGATTCGTGCATCCTGTCTCTTCTGTTCCTCTTCTTGTTTCTGTTTCACTTTAAGAACTCCCACTGTTTTTGGACAGGGCTTTCAGGTCCCATCCTAGCCAGAATAGATGTTGTTTGGGATTTTTTTTCCCTGCTCTGTATGCTGCTTCCACCAAAGCCTCACTCCCCATGAGCACAGGAGAGCTGATTTGTGCATTTTTGTTACTCAGCTGCTTGATTAGACTTTGTGGTGGTTTTTTTTTTTAATTACAATTTGCTCAATGACTGATCTTTCTGATCAGCAACACACCTGGCCATCCACCTCAGAATAAATGAAACCTTTTTATTTAAATTAATTCATTCTCATCTAAAAGAAACCATCGGGGCAAAGTGAACAGCATTTGTTGGGGGCTTGCAGGAGAACAGGAGCCATGTGTTCACCAGCTCCCTCCTCTCCAGCCTTAAGGTGAAGTTTCTGTGTAAGCAATCACAGCAGGACCAGGGGGATTCCACAATGGCCTTTCTGTGCTGGCTCCAGGCAGGTTTAAAAAAGCCTCTCGGAGTGACTGTGAGCTGGAAGTGTGAAACAGGAGGGTTATTGTGGAGCTGTGGGGCTCTGACTGCATTCAGGGCTTCGCTGCGGTGAGAATATGTATGTTCAGAGGGGAAGAGGCCCCTGCACGGAGCATCCAGGGAGCTGCTCTGAGCAGAGAGAGAGAAAATGTTATGCTTAAAGCAATAAAAAATGATCTAGATTTTTTTTCTGGCTCCAAAGGCAAGCGTAGTTACTCTAAGATGTAATTGTTGATTGTTCAGAATGAGAGGAAATGGCCTCGAGTTGTGCCGGGGGGGGGTTAGATTGGATATCAGGAAAATATTTTTCACAGAAAGGGTTGTAAAGCATTGGAACAAGCTGCTGAGGGAAGTGATGGAATCACCATCCCTGGAAGTGTTCAAACAATGTGTGGATGTGGCACTTGAGGACATGGTTTAGTGGTGAACGTGGTGGTGGTGCTGGGTTGATGGTTGAGTGCGATGATCTTCCAAGATCTTTTCCAACCTGTGATTGTTTCTTGCCACCCCAGCACATCAGGAGCTTTCAGGAAAGCAGGTGTAGCACATTTGGATAATGCTGGAGACTTTCCACCTTCATACATGTGGCTGGTGCTCAGAGTAACCTCCATCTGCCCACCCAGTCCCACTGGTGCCAGTGACAGCAGCGAGGGCTGTGCCAGCAATCACCACGAGATGTGGGCTGGGAAGACCCTAAAACCTCAGAATGTGCTTTTATAGACTTAAAACACGGGCTTTGCTGCTGGGGGTGATGGCACTGCTGGGACACACACACGAAGAGCCCAGCAAATCTGCCCTGGGTTTGCTTTACTGCTGGTCCTGACATGTATAAAGAGAACTGCAAACATGGGGTCGATACAGTTACACCATCCCTCTCTCCTGAAATCAACTGTGGCTTTTCTATAAAAAAATCCCTTCAAGCCTAAGCTAACAGGTACTGACAGGCTTTTTCACAGTCCTTGGACCGACTGTGGCCAGGAATACAAACCTGCATGTCAGTGTGTTTGCTGGCATAAGAAATACAAGAGATTTAGTGCATTTGACTGTAAGATCTAAGATAGCATTGAGATTAAATATATAAACCATCTTGTTGGAGTGGGATATGGGGAGGGGAAAGATTTGATTGTTGTTGCCAACTGAGGTAGCAATAGACAAATATTTTTCCTAAGGGTTTTTGTTCGGATCGATTTCCAGAGGATTCTGGATGCCAGCAGGCACCTGGGGCAATGCCCCTCTCAGCTCTGTGCTGGCATCATTATCTAGTGATAATATAGATAATCTGGTGATACTTGGCCAAAAACATTGGTTGTGTTTAACTGACACACACGTGAGGGCTTGGAGCTGGCAGTCCTAAACTCCTGTCACTTGTTCCTGCTGCTTGGAATTACTACTGCAGTAAAGCACAGTTTTGAATGAAAATCCTTCAGGCTAAGCTGCTCTCTAAGGGAGTGTTCCTGGCAGGGCATGGTCTTTGGTGACTGAACTGTGTTTCATTGCCATAAACTTTCGTGGAGCCTTGGGACACTGTGAAACCAGAGGTATAAATCTAGATGATAATGTTCAGAAAAGAATATATTGCCTTTGCCATCAGCAAACATAAATTGGGAGTTATAAATAGCTGTAGCCACTTCTGCATTTCTGTGTTCTATTGTCTGTTTTGCTGACAGTTATTTTCCTTTAATAGAAGTCCCCCCCCTTTTTTCAACTTAGTGCTTGACTTGAGCAAAATGACATGTCCTTGTTCTATGTGTTTGTCCTCCTCGAAGATTCTGTTCTGCTGAGCCATCTCCAGATCTAGTTAATAAAATAGGATCAGTTTGCAGATGCCAGATGGATGAATGTCCTGTAGGAATCCTTTTTCAAGGGTAAAAGGATGGAATTTCCCATGTAGATTTTGCAGTAGAGAAAAAAAAAAATTGGGGTTTTCCTGAACTCCTTGTTGGCTCTGCTCTGTGGAGCAGAAAAGTCACAAATAGGGCTGAAAATGTCTCATGTCCTCTCTGTGAATGCCAGGTAGGTAAAGTTGGATGGATTTTTCAAGTTGCCTGGATTATTCCTGGTGTGATAGTCAGTTCACCATCTAAATGTATTTTATTCCTATGGCTGTGTTGTTCCATGAGTCTCATAATTGGGAAATTCTAAATTCTAGGGAAACCTAATTCTAAATCCCACAAAAACTGAAGTCTAATGAAGCCTTGAAAAACCATCCTGACTTTTTGCCCTTGTGGTACAAAAATGATCTTGTCCATTTTATACTGTGAGTAAATGCAACCCCTTGCTGAGTGAGTGTCTGACTACACCAGGAATTCACAGGAAAATAACAGTTTGAGCTCATTTGCCTTCTTTTTCTTATTCACAGGGTCCTATTGGTGTTCCTGGTCCCAAAGGTAACCAGGTAAGTGATAACTTTTGTGCTGTTGTCAGCAGAGGCATTTAACCCAAACCTCAGGCACAGCCTTAGAACAGTACAAACTGCTTTTTCTCCCTCAAATGAAAATATTCTGCAGCAGGCACCAACAAAACTCTCTTTGGTCCCATTTCTCCTGTTGGCACAGATGCAGGCTGTTCTAATGGAGACTCATGAAAATGCTGTGATGAAAACACTAGACCCTTGCTGTGTGTTTTGTAGCCACGAGGCATCTGTGTAGGAGCTCCTCACATCACATTCCTCCTGAGTTAAGTTTAGAAGTGCAGCTTTTCCTTGCACTCCATGTGGCTGATGAGGAAGACTTTGTCCTAAATTAAAAGCTTGGCACACTAATGGACTAATTTAATATTTTACTTTTTGCTGCTCAACTTCCATAGTCGGTTTAATCTCAGCAATGAGCTTTTGAGCCAGTTTTCATCAAATATATGGCTTTCATTAATGCATGACTGTGTTTTTACAGAAAACAAGGCTTTTCTAGCAAGCCTTGCTGGTTTTGTTTACCAGTGTCAGTGTCTGTGTGGTCTCCGTTTTGTTTCTAAGGGAAAGACCAACCTACTCCCTGTTTGTCTTGAAATGACTTCCTCTGGAAAGCCATCGAGTCACCATAACAAGCTCATTGTCTGCTCTAATTGCAGTGTAATAAGCCAGCTCTGTGTTCCCCAGGGGCAGTGCTGCCCGTGGGGCCGGTGGCAGCAGGTTGCAGTGATTTGTGTCCCCCCCAGTGATGTTCAAATTGCACACACTGCTGCTGCTGAGTGGAGGTGATCAGCAAATTGATGCTCCTCGTCCTGGCTGATAAAAGGGATATCACCAGAGCTTTAGCCACTCTCACAGTCCCCAGACAGAGAGGAGAGGGAGGATCCTCACCAAGTGATGATCACTGCAGTTTAAGGGTGGGATGAAGATGTTCTGCTAGGAACATCAGGAAGCCTAAAGAACATGGACACTGAACATTTGGCTGTGGCTGCAAACCCACATTTTCTGTGAGATACAGAGTTGGGGAACCTGAAATTAGATTCACTGTCCAAGGACAGCCTGTGGGTGTGTTTCATGGCCACCCCACCAGGGATCTCGTCTGTATGAATTCAGCCTTTCAGCCAAGTCCCAGCCTGTCACAAAGGGCACCCAGTCCTTGTGCCATCTACTGTGGAGTTCAGCCTTGGGAAGAGGGAACTTCCTCTTGCTGGAGCAGCTGTGTAGGCTGCAAAAAGACCCCATCTCCCTTAGGCACTCCAAGTCTCAGGGTGAGCCTCACTGTCAGCAACACTGTCCTTGTGCACCAGCAGGTGCAGTGTTAACTCTGGTCTCTCCCTTTCAGGGCATTGCTGGAGCTGATGGCCTCCCAGGTGACAAAGGAGAGCTGGTAGGTGTCCTCAAGTTCAGCAGGATTGACTCCTCAGATAACAGATGGGTCTAGAAAACCCATCAATATGGTCAGTCAGAATTAATCATCCAAGATCTCCAACCCTGCTGTGAAAAGGAGAAGGCAACCCAAGCCTTGTACAGCTTCCTGCAGCTTGGGAGGTTGGGCTTCAGAGGTGCATTTGCTGAATGGATCATTCTTTCTTATTTCCCTTTTCTTTCTAACAGGGTCCCTTTGGTCCTCCTGGCCAAAAAGGAGAGGTATGTGTCAGACACTGAGGGCTCATGCCCCAGAAAGTTTGGAAGTAAACATGACTATTGCATCTTTCAATGATATATGTCAATAAGTTAAGTTCTGATGCCATTCCCTAGAAACATGTTTTTCTCACAGTCATGCCATAGGATCTGTGAGAATGACAGGGGGTTGTAGCATTCAAAATACTGAAATATGTTTGATAATTTTGCTGCAGTAAGGACTCCTGTTTATGAGTAAAACCACCCATAGGATGTAAGAATTGTACATATCAGCCAGGTCAGTCAGGGAAACCTGACAAAAGGCTTAACTAATGACCAGGAGAAAACAGTGGATCATATCTTCAGTTTTCAGTGGTTTTTGCTTTCTTTGTCTCATTACAGCCAGGAAAAAGAGGAGAACTTGGTCCAAAAGGTGCCCAAGGACCTAATGGGACAGCTGGAGCACCAGGAATCCCAGGACATCCGGGGCCCATGGGCCATCAGGGGGTGCAGGGTGTTCCTGGCATCACAGGAAAACCTGGGCCTCCTGTAAGTGTCCTCTGCTTCTAGGGCACAGTCAGGGAGCCTGTGAAGTGAATAAATGGATCGTGGGGTTTGGATGTATGTTCAAAAAATAAGGTCCTGTGTTTCAGCAGGCAAAAGTAAGGCCAAATAAGCCCCAGATTAAATATCTGGTCTAACATTAAAATTAATCTCTGCTGTTACTGTGACAGATTTCTGAACTGAAACTGTCATCTTTTGTAGAGGGGAAAGAACCCACTCCTCTCCATGTGGGATCCTCTCCATGTGCTTCTTCCTGAGCTGCTGGAAATGTATTTTGTGTCCTGAAGCTTCTGCCAGGGATGATTATTGATAACATGATTTGTACAAGGGCAAATTCTTCTGTTAATTGCAGGGCAAAGAGGCCAGTGAACAACATATCAGAGAACTCTGCGGGGAAATGATAAATGGTGAGTATCACTGAGAGAAAACTGACTGAATTGCCATATTAGCTGAAGATGAGTAGATCCTGAACATAAGATAGCTCCTGAGATTTGTTAATTTTCTGTCTGGATAAGAAAAAATACATTGACCTTTAATGCAGGGAAATTATTCAGGAGGTCACCTTGTTTCTGGGATGTCTTTCATTGTTCTAAAATTAGTATTTTTTTCAATGATTTATCTTGGCAACAGACAAAGTGCACTGAAAGCAGCTTTGACACAAGTATTGTGCCAGCACAGGCTGTGAGAGTGTCTGTCTGCCCTAACCTGTGTCATTCTGGACTTCAGCTCCCAGCTCCTCTCTCTCCTCAGTGCACCCCATCTCCTTGGAGCAGAGCCCCCCAGAGTGTCCTTCTTTCTTCAGAGTTACTGTTCTGCAATTGGAGGTTATATTCCCCATTTGAGATGAGGTTAAACTCTGAAAGTTTGCTTTAGAAAACTTGTTTTAATTATTTAAGCATCAATTGTTAAAATACTTGATGTCATTTAAAGTGGTTTTGGAAACAGAAAATATCAATGGCTTAAAAACTTGCAGATTTATGATGAAAATTCCTCTGTGTAGTATAAAAAAAACCCAAAAAGCTACAGGTGGGCTGAGAGGAAACTCAATGTTTCCTTCTGCCAGAAGCAGTAAGTGTGTGGCAGTGGCAGGAAGATCTGCTCAAGCAAAGAGTGAAAATGTTGGCCATGCAGTTTTTCATTGTGTTTTTCAGAGCAAATTGCACAGTTAGCTGCTAACCTGAGGAAGCCCTTGTCCCCTGGAATGACGGGTCGGCCTGGACCAGCCGGGCCCCCAGGTCCTTCTGGAGCAACGGGAAGTGTTGGGCATCCTGGTCCTCGTGGTCCCCCTGGATACAGAGGGCCAACAGGAGAGCTGGGAGACCCTGGTCCCAGAGGTAAGTTAAGACTAAAGCAACCTGCTTCTCTTTAATGCCCACTGAAATAAATTGCAAAACTGTACTAAATTCAGCAGTGGGGGAAAGGAGATCAGGCCTCCATGGAGTTCTAGAGGAGGGTTTGCATCTTTAGTTGGATCTCTGCTTACAGGCCATCCCCAATGTCCTGAGGATTTTTAGCTCCTCTTGATCTCTCCCCTTCCTGTTCTTGGCTCCAGTGCACAACTCACTGTTGAAACTCTGTTTGTATTCAAGGTGACACTGGTGAAAAGGGAGATAAAGGACCTGTTGGTCAAGGTATCGATGGGCCTGATGGTGATCAAGGACTTCAAGGTAAGGCTGTGCAAATAATTTAACACTCCATCACTAAAGCAGAGGCTTAAGAATCACAGACTGTTCTGAGTTGGAAGAGACCCACAAGGATCATCGAGTCCAACTCTTGGGGACAGCTCTGCATAGAGCTGGCAGTAGATTATCATCACCACTCTTCTGTTACTCAGAATCTTAATTACAACTTGACTTGAGGAGGGGCAGTGAATTGAAGCTGCTGAAGGCCACAGCCTCCCACTGGGGAACAAGCTGGTGCCAAGGAAGGAGGGACGGTTGTGACCACACCTACTGTCACAATAAGTAAGCTGTGAGCTCACACAGACAGGACATCCCTTGACCAAATTATTCAGGCATAAAAAAAAATGCAAACCTTCAGATTCAGGGTAAATTTATTGAAAACACCTTGTACTCAACAGGCCATAACAAGTGTGATGTACAGACACTCAAAGTATATTAAGATCTCTAAAAGCAACACATATATACATATATTAAAAATAAAATTAAAAAAAAATAAAAAAAAAGAAGAGATGGAAATACATCATGTAATCTTTCCCCCTTTCTTGTTTAGGACCACCTGGTGTGCCTGGAATTACTAAAAATGGCCGTGATGGGGCTCAGGGAGAACCCGGCCTGCCAGGGGATCCTGGTACTCCTGGTACTATTGGGGCTCAGGGAACTCCAGGAATATGTGACACGTCGGCTTGCATGGGAGCTGTTGCAGCATCAATTTCCAAAAAATCATAAACCAACAGTACAAGAAGTGAAGAAGTGAATATTTAAATAAACAGTGCATTGTAAGAAAACAGAATCCTCCTAGTGCTAAATGGACAGATGCTCCTTCTGTTCTGTTAAGCAGAGACTGACACAGTTCTATGAAAAAGAAAGCATCAGGTGAAAACTTTAATTAAAAGATGCTTTATGAGTATTTTTCCTCCCCCCCAGTTATTTTCCAGACTTTTTACTGCTAAACAACCTCACCTTTCCTTTCTCCCTTTGCTCAAGAGTCCTGCAAGAGGAAGCATTGTTCCTTTTTACCATCACCCCCCATACACTAAAGATCACGACTTCTGGCTATAAAAGTTTGAGCCTTTTCAGTTGAATCCCTTGGTGCTGCTGCCACTGATTTCAGTTCTGCAGGTTTGTGCACAAAGACACATGTTGTTAAGGTACTCAGGCACCAAACTTCCTCTTCTATGAGTGGAAATCATGCATTTAAATATCCTGTATTTTAATATCTTAACATTCTGGCTGAAGTAATGACCATCACTTACATGTATGCTGTCACTTAGCAATTTTCAGATTGCACCTCAAATATTTGCCAAGACTAGTAAACAATAATCCTCTTGCAATCAAATTCTGCAAAAGGTGTAATGTATATATTTAATTTTGAGGGAAGAATTTTTGTATATTTCCATATGATAATAAAAGAAATGAAGTAACAGCATTTTCATGACCTCTACTTAAGCTATTTGCACAGTAATTGCGATGGAACCCCATGTAAGAAAGGATGCTCTTCTAAAGTCCAGCCAAAACCACCTGCAATGAACTGTTGTAAAAATAAAAGGAGATTTTTTTTTAACCTTTTCTTTGTGATGTTGTGTCATTTACATATCAAGTTAACTCAGCTGAACTCCATTTTCCAGAACTGGTTTTACTAGGGTTGTTTGGATATAAATTGCTGCAAAATTGTCCTTATCCGTGATTTAAACCAGTATTAATTTTGGTAGACCTTTTTATAATTTAAAACTTGCTAGCATCATCTATTTTAAAAAAACTAATAAAGCCACTCTCAGCTCACACACTGTTCTATTTCTGTCCTATGTGCCAAAGCCTATGAACAAAGTGTCATATTTTTCTTTAAATATAAAAATAGTTTGTGCATTTAAATATCTAGTGTTTATAATATGCCACTCTTGGTTTAGAGTAACAATACAAGAACCTGTTGGACAGTTGTGTGACAGACATTAAAAATAATACTCTTTGGGGCCAAGTATGTTAAATATGTGTGCAAATGGAAAATTCATAATATGCACAGTTTAGAAACTAAGCACTTGCTCAAACAACCAGTATAACCTTTACATTTTTAATGGGAAAATGGTCATTATAATATGGTAACTTTAGTTTTTCTTTGCAGTGGAAGACTATCTTTCCATCTGGCCATTCAAATAACAGGACAGATGGATGGTCTACAACTCTGCCTAACTGTACTGGATCATCTTTAAAAAAAAAAAAAGGCAAAACCAAACAATTAAATAAAACCTCAAAGCAGGATGACTAACCAATTTTGTAAAACTAAAGGGTAAAAATACTTTCTTGTAGCTTCTGGTCCCAAAGCCTCTTGAACAGGGCACTGGTTTCCATTGCTGGTAGTTAACTTCCATTTCCATTTTCAATAAAGAACATTTTCTTTAAAGCTCTATTTATATATATTTACAAGTTACATTTCACAATCCATATTCAGCATGTAAATGGAAAGCATAAAATACAGCTTGGACCATTGCCACACAATTCAAGGTGGTCAGGTCTGACTATTTGGTCTCCATAGCCGTGCGGTTTTCCTGCGCTGGACACATCACACATGAGTCTGGTCTTCCTATTTTTAGTCTCCTGCCTGTTTTACCACAGAACACAGTCTCAAATTCCTAAAAAAATCAAAATACAGAGAATAAATAACAACTACATTTATTGTAGATATTTACTTGAGATTGTTGTTTTTGTTTCATCGGTGTTCTGGAAAAATAAAGCTCTTCAATAGGAAGTGCTGAGGGGCTATATCAGGATCTAGACAAGCAGCTTTTCCAATACACACTCCATGTACTGTCTTGAAATTCTTGGCAGAGCCAGAATTACTCTGGAGCTGCAACTACTGGTGTGGAGCATGGGAGCTTCTTATAGGACAGATAACCCTTTACACTCACCAACCCTGAGAGAGTGTGGGCATGTAACTGTAAATCCATCCCTGAACTCATAGTTCATAAAAAACAATTAGAAGACTGTGGAAGTGGTAAAAAATAGAGAAAAGAAAGGAGAGGAGGAATGACTGAAGAGGACCTTAATTCTAATATTGTTTACCAAATAGGATCATGCTCAGGAATTGGGTAGCTAAAAGAAAAAAATATTGACTTTAAAATCTGATTTGAAAACCTTGACTGAGGACAGCCTGCCATTTCTCACTAGTGAACTGAACCAGTAAAAAACCAAAAATTTAAAGGAAGATTCAAGGTTATGGTGGATCCTTCACAAACAGCATCATGAATAAGCATTCCATATACGTTATACACTACAGCTTTAAAATATTTCACATTTTCCACAAGACCAAAAATGAAATCAGATTTCAAACCTGCTTCAGAGAGTCGCCGTGCCTTTCCTGAATGTACTTCAGGAATGCAGTTGTCCACTGCAAAGTTGTTGCCTTATCAGTGTCAATCGTGCAGAACGGAACCAGCAGATTCAGCTCATCACAACAAACCCGGATCCTGCGCCTGCAAACATTGGAGGTTATCAACCAGGGCCAGAGGGAAGGGAAAAACAAAAACAAAAGGAAGACTACCAGCTATGGACTTCTTTTTGTTTGCTACAAGCTTCGTGTATCAGTCATGCTGCACACAAGTTACCTTATCTTTATAGAATGGGTGATATGTTTTGAAATCTCTCTTTGTTTGTTTAGAGAGTAAAAACACAACAAAGACAACCACAACGAAACATACATGTATTTCCCCTCCAAGGAACACCAAACCCTCACCACCTGCTTTGCTTTTTCTTGGAGCTAACATGAAACATGTCACATCTACATTTACTCTGGATGATCACAGTATCAAGGTTTCAAAAGCCTTTGCAAGGCCTCAGCTCACAGAATTACCTTCTGTCTCTCTCCAGGCGGTTGTGTCGTTCCCTGCGCTGAGCACTCCCATCCTGTGTTCCACCTGGGACCTGCACACTGGAGCCAGGCTGTGCTGACTGCCAGGGGCCCTGGGCAGCTCCACTGCCCTGGCTGTTGTCACGGGCATTTCGAATTTCACCGAGAGGTTTGCGATCCATGTTTGGATCCAACGGGTTTATTCGGCTGCAACTTCTGTTTATGGCTTGCTTGCATAAGGTGTCTTATTGGAAAAACAAAGAGGAAAAGAACCATCTATTTGTAACCCTCCCACTAACCTGAAAATAGTGATCATGGAGGGGGTTTTTTTGTCGCTTTATTTCTGTGGAATAATCCTTGAAGCTTTATTGCCAGCCTAGATTGACTCTTACAAGTCCTTCAGAAGCCCTAAGGCACTGCTTGCTATTCCAAAATCCACATAGCTTCTATTTTCTCAGAGAGCCCACTGAGACCATGCCTGGTGAGCACTTGGGGCAATCCTTAAAATGTCCTTTAGTTTGGTACTGACTGGATCTGCTGTATCAGCTCAGGGGTCACAAAATGTGTCCCTTTGCCCTGTGGTTTGGTGGTATTTGGTCAAAGGTTGAACTTGATCATCTTGGAGGTCTTTTCTAATCTTAATGATTCTATGATTCTGAAGAAACCAGTTGCTTACCCAAGGCCCAGATTTTCAAAGGTACTTTGTAACCCTGAGTTTCCTCACTTCAAGCTAGAAATGCTAAACAATTTTGAAAGTATAGCTAAACTAACAGGTCTTGAACTTTTCTGGAAAAATCTAAGTCCCATGTTGCCCACAGCACATCTCCTCCATAAACCCCTCACCTCCTACATCCACTAAAATCATATTCATGCCAGAAAAGACACAAAGTCAGGACAAAAATGTAGATTTGAAGGCCAAGAGAAAGCTAAGTGAAAAGAAGATAAATGATTTACCTCCAACTTTAATCCAAACTTCCTCAGGCAAAGCTTTATTTATAGCACCTACTGTCTGTTTTGTGGATTCAACTTCCTGATAGAGGAAAGGGAACGTCTTGGGTATCCCAAGGTCTTGATGTTTGGCAGCTTCCAAAATAGTGCAAGATGTTCCACAGGTCTGTGAAAAATCAAAAAGGAAATACAGGACTATATACATTAAAAAACCAAACAAACAATAAAACCACAACCAAAACTAAGAAACAAAACCCACCTATTTTTATATGTTCATGTTAACTTCTTAAGTTACTTCTTTAGCCAGAATAAATCCCAAATACTTCCACATATAACCACAGGATTTTGACAGACTGGTGATTTTTGGGGCTACCTCTGATATTTCTGAGTGCCATTCTATCACTTTTGCTTCAGAGGTTACTGCAAGTTGGGGAGGGGGAAATATTTTTATCATCAAAATAAACTGTAGAAAATGCTACTAAGTGGCTGCTTCTTGTCTTGCACAGATGAAACCAATGATAAAAGGATAAACTCCAGGAAAAAAAGAAATCCAATGGCCTACTGCTCATTACTGGGATGCAGGTAACTACTAATTACAAAAATTACAAATGCCACACAACTGACTTGAGTATATTTTAAAGATGTTTAAATGAATTGCACTACAGATCATTCTGATCATCCCTATTCAAAGCCAGCCACACTTTACCCCAAACCTTCACAACTATTTTACACCTAAGAAGTTAATATTATCAGCATTTGAACTTGGCAGAGTAGAGTTACCTGTGCTTGGGAAGGATTAGCACTTCCAGCAGCAGAACATGCATTCATGGTAAAGAATGGGTACGTGAATGGCAAGGAATGTGTGGCAGGTGCAGCCTTATTTTTCCCAAGTGCAGCACACCTGTTCCCTTGCTGGTGAAGAGGAACACCCACCACTTCCGAGGGCTGGCGAATCAGTGTCACTAAACTTAAAAACAAAAACAAACAAACAGAAAACATACCAGGCTGACTGCTTGAAAATGAGTGCAGAAAAATGTACAGCTACACATCTTTCTAGTAACTATCACTAAGAAACCACTTCCATTTACTGTAAACAGAAATCACTGTTATTGCCATATTGCTTACTTCAGGGAGCAAAGAAAAAAAAGGAAAATCAGCTGAGAAGATATTTTATTCTGTGCAATAACAGTTCATTTCACGCTTCAATAAAACATTTATCAGCACACTAAGACAGTTACAGGGCTAGATTGTACAACAACATTTTTGCTCCAAGTTTTCCCCCTACTCAGGCCTCCACATTGTAACACTAATCAATCACTCTTATTATTATGATCAAAAATCTACTTTGCTTTTAGCAAGCTCCATATTAAAACTAGGCATTGTTCTCTCGCCCTTATTTACAGTATATGTTATCAGGAATAAAGCTGTAAAGTAATTAATTTTGGAACTACATGCTGTACCATTTATGCAATACACAGAGGGGCCTAAGCTGAGCTCAGCAGAGTTGCATCCACATTTGATGGCACAGTTTAACAAAGCCCAACCCATCCTCCTCGTGTATTAAAAAAAAGTACCGTCCTTAGGTTTCACTTAGAAAATCAGTTTTGAACTATACGATACATAGTTTAACAACATAAAGTAATTGCAACACACTTGTTAAGAGTTACTCCAGATTCTTGGGGTTCTTGACATCTGGGGTTTTCTGTCGGGCTGCTGTTGAATCTGTCTTCCAACCGAGCTCTGACTGCAGGTTTAGATCTAAGCTCTGGTGCCAGTGCCGAATTTTCAACAAATATGTTTTCTTTATTGTCCCCCAAGAAATTTTCACCCTGTTTAGCTTTTACTACACTGCATCCTGAGACTTCTACAGAGCTACTGTTGGGTGCTTTCTCTCTTTGGTTCAGAGGGAGGTTGGACTCGCTAAGCAACATCATTCTGAGCTCCTGCAAGTCAGCATAGCCCAAGTGTGGGTTAGAACTCGGCCAATAGCTGTCACAAGGTAACCCTGACTGGCAGGTAACTGGGCAGACCGACTGGTTCCCAGAGCTGCTGGACGAGCCCCCGTCCTGACTGGTGCTGGGGGAGGGCTGCTGCAGAGGGGGGTCTGCAGAGGGACCAGGCGAGGAGAAAGCGCTGAGCCTGGCTTCCACTTCACCTTCACTACTCTGGGCCTCCGTGTGCGAGCAAAGTATGTGCTGCAGCTGGGTGTACTCAATGTCCATCATCTCCACCAGGCTGGCCTCGGGGGTGGCGAAGCCAAGGTTTTGCTCACCAAAGGAACTGTCACTTGAGCCTCCAGGTCCGACAGCAACGGGAGCGGGGTCAGGAGCACTAGCTGGGCTCTGAGGAATGGTCTGAGGCTCCTCGGGGGCTGATCCTGACATGGCTACAGCAAACCTAATCAGTTACCAATGTCCCCTTCAACAGAAAACCACACCACCTTCAAGAATTGTGCTATCCATTAAAAAAAAAAAAAAACAAAACAAAACAAAACAACAAAAAAATTGCACTTAACACTGATTCGCGAGGTTAACAGGGCGGGGACCAAGCTGCCGCTGGCGGGGTACCTGACACCCTGACCATGTCTCCCCCCCCGAAAAGGTGAGACCCGCCCTCCCCCTCCAGCACAGCTGCTCACGACAAACGGCCTTCACCTGTCCCCGCCCCGCGGCCTCGGCGGGGAGGCTGCGGGCAAACTCTGCGGCCTGGCACCCCCCTGAGGCGGGGCCCGGGCGGCGGGAGCGGGGCCCCGGCGTTCGGGGGGAGCCGGGGCGGGCAGGGCCGGGCGGGGGCGGCCGGAGGGGACGCGCGGCCCCCTCAGCGCTGCGAGCGCTGCCCCGAGCGCGCCGCGCGCCGCCGCCAACGGCCGCGTGTAACCGCCACGGCCCCGCGCGCGACCCCGCGCGCGCCCCTCAGGCGGAGCCCCCCCCGCCCCTTCCCGCCCCTCAGGGGGGGCTTCGTCCGAGGCTCAAATTTAAACCCCCGAGCCTGGTAAAACCCGGCATTTATCGGTGTTGTGAGGAAATAAGGAAAGAGAACGTGAGCGTGCAGGGCGTGTTTATATGTGTATTTCAGGTTCCGGGCGCACGCTTCGCTATTTGAGCTGACTCGTGGCTGGGCTGGCCGAGCACACGCTCTTAGCCCACGGGGGATTTAAACGAATTGCGACTATTTACTGCTCAGCCTTCTTTCATGCTAATCAAAAGTTTGGACAAAGCCAGAGAATGGTTTTTCTCTCTGCTGCGATGCAGGACAATCATTCAGAATCATTTGTTTCATCGTTGCTGGATAAAGGGTTTTTTTCCCGTTCCCAGGAACGTTTCTGTGAAGCACTGAGGGGCAGCGGGTTCCTTTACAGCGGAGTCCACAGACCTGAATTTCCTGCTGCAAGATTATGTTACTAAACTGTAAAGGCTTTAGTAGTTCGTCAGTGTTTAAAAAGTGTCTTTTGATAGTAAGTTATTCCAAAATGCCTTTAAAACCTTTCACTTTTCTGGACTTAAAAAGTGGTCCTGTCCCATAATTTCAGAATTAAAACCAGATGCCCATTACAGAAGACACATCCTAGAAAAAACCCAGAGCATGAAAGGCACAAAAATGCCACTCCAGCTCATAACCAGAATAAACCCTCAGCTTCAATACTTTATGAAAAAGTTATCCCCTTCGGGTTAAAAAAATAAAATGTTTACTGCATATTCAATCAAGGCATTCCCATGTCCAAGCGTACCATATTCCATGAGGTGTAGCCAAAGTCTGACAGCCTCACTGATGACTTTGACATTTTAAGAAATTTTAAAAGTTTTGGGCACACTGAACTCAATACACACTTTCCTCCTTCTCTAATCCTCCTGCACATTCCCCTTTACAATGCTCACAGTTGGAATACTACAGCGTTTTACGGACATAATAATAGTTCTTTTTATATTGTTCTAGACCTTCCAGAGGCTTTTACAAAGAAAGGTTTAGCAAAATACTCTCGGGAAAGTTAATTTAGCTTAGTACAAACATAGACAAAAGCTCAAAATAGTGAGTTCTTTCATGTTAATCAGAAGTTTGGACAAAGAGAATTTTCTCTTTCCTGCAATGCAGGACAATCATTCAGAACCATTTTTAGTCTCTGTAAATTGAGTTAAATTGTTGTGTTGGTTTCAGCCTGGCTTTTACTGACTGCTGCAGTGGAGAAGACAGGAATCTTGCTGCAAAATCCAACTCCAGCTCCTTGTAAATTATATAAAGCTGTGCTTTAAGTCAGTCACTAGTGCCTGTCTATGCTGTTGATTTTTTTTGCCACTTGATCTTTGGGTGGATGTATTTACTGTTCCTAAATCATAAAGAGTCCCCAAACTCCCAAAGGAGAGTTTCTAGAAGATGAAAAGCCACACATCTATTTCATAAAAATGTAAAGTCAAGAAATTAATAAACTATGTGAATTAAGTTTTTCTTAAGCTCAAAGCTGACCTGAATTAATTTTTTTCTTTTTTTTTAGATTTTTGATGTAAAATCTTCAAATCATAAGCTTCCTGACTCAAATTTAAAAAAAAAAAAAATCAAAATAAATTAGGGGATGCTTTAGAACTGAGAGAAGAATCATAAGCACAGATTTTGGCCTGGTTTTTAGAGGGCCCACAATCCCACATTGGTTGGTAGTGATGTCCTGCAAAACATCCAAAACATCTCTCATTATACTATGAGGAAACAAGACCCATGTGCCATCAGTCTCTCATGGTTTGTTGAGATGTAGCAAGATATAGAAAATAATAAACACATACATATTTAAGAAATGGACAACAGCTCTCTGTAGATGTTTATTCTACTTACAGTAACAAAAACCTGTGAACTCCCATATTTTAATGTACAGTGATATAATCTGCCATATAAAATACAATTTACAGAAATTTCTATCAAGGAAACCTAAACAAACACACTTACTTTTTGCATACTTTTATGTATGTCTTTAAATTAGAAACATCTCGTTAAGAAAAAAATCTTACACCGTAGTTGATGTTTGCATTTCATACCATTTCTTTGCATGTTACCGTTTTCCCTCGGGTTCAGAACACAGATCATCTCAGCCAGCAAACCCTGGATGGACAAGGACCTCAAAGATGCACCAATGTGACTGTGGTGACAAACAAGCTACCTGTAATGTAATCCTCAAGATAAAAACTGTTTACAGGAATCTAATTTTACATTTCCAAAACTATTTTATCAAAAAATGAAAATATTTACCCGACTGTTAATTTACACGGTCAAATAAATTAGCGGGGTTTTATTTCATACTTGAGGACTACATGAAAAGTATCATTTGGGCATGAAAAATGTCCCTCTTCAATCACAACATGATGTACCACAATAATTTAAAGTTTAATGCAGCTGTATCTTTTTCAGTGGAGAGTTTTATATACACACTGCCAGCCTAAGTACGGTCTAACAAAAGAACAGTAACATTCATTTTTCAAGAGCCCTTTTAGAATGAAAGAGTACTTCTAGAATGAAAAATTCAATCAAATTGGGACATTTCTTAAGTTTGTGCCAAAATTCTGCAAAACCAAAACAAAAGCAAAAAATGCTCTGCTAGATCAGTTCAACTGAAGTAAGAGATTCAGTGGCCTATTTAACCAAATTTTTTCCTTCCTTTAGTTTACCAATTTATTTGCAGTCTTCACCTTTTTCAAATAAATGCCAGATGCTTTTGTAAGTTTTGCTGGTTATAAAGGTGCTACTCTTGTATGACAGGCTTGTGAAATGGGATATTTAAAACATCATGAAAAATAAACTAAGTACAACTTGTCTCTTTGCTGTACACCGAAGAGATGGATTCCCAAACCAAAACACCTGTATAGAAAAGGAAGATAGTGCACTTTAAGCTTATAACATTCCATTTTCAAATCCTCCATCAGTCACAAGTAATTATTAACACTGTTCTTCTACAGTCCTTTCCTAAATAAACGACCCTTCTGTTGTAAAAGAAACACGACAGCAACATTTTTAAAGTGTGTGCTGTAGGAACAATTTTGACACCAAAATATCACGTAAATGGGATGTAAAGGTATGGCTCCTCAGGTGTGGATTAAATTCTCTTATAAAATTACAATTCAAGTTACTGGAAAACATAACTTTATAATCTTAAAAAGCAATATGCTCTTCTTAGACTTTTTCCATTTCTGCACTGTAAATGGAAACTTTAAGATAAAGATGCGAGTAGAAAAAACAAAATTTCAGTACAGGTAACATTGTGAATTTTTATAAGAAAAACATTATGCACAAAATGCAGCAAGTGAAAGTCCAATATGTTCTTGCTTCTCATCTATCTGATTAATTTCATTCACAGTTGTTCAAAAATTGCTAACTTGTCAGTCCATTGGGTAAGGCTAGTTTTACAACAGTATGTTTGGAAAGGTGAGAATATATACAGTATATACAGAAGATGTGCAGTCCTTGCTGTGTTGCAAAAGTGGGATATTTGTGGGAAATACAATATCATAGTTCTACGATTGATTGCTGGAAGACGAAGCTTCAGTTTCCACCGGTTTCTGAGTTTCCTTCGGTGTTTCTGGCTTCGTCTCTTTACCAGTTTCCTTACTCTTACTCCTATCTTTGCGATCTTTCCCTCTTTCCCTGTCGCGATCTCGATCTCTCTCTCGATCTCGTTCCTTCTCCCTGCTCCGATCCCGGTCCCTGTCTTTCTCTCTGTCACGATCCCTGTCTCTGCTTCTCGATCGCTCTCTGTCACGTCTTCTGTAGGAGTCTCTCTCTCTGGTTCTTGTCCTATCTCTGTCTCTGCTTCTTTCCCATTCCTTACCTCGCTCTGAATCCTTGTCTCTGTCTTTGTTTTGGCTCCTATCTCTGTTTTTATCCCATTCCTTGTCTCTGTGTCTCTCCCAGTCCCTGTCTCTGTTCCAGTTTCTGCCACGGTCTCTTTCCCAAGGTCTGCCGTGTTCTCGATCCCTTCGTCTGTCCTCGAAGGCTCTGCCTTGGCGATTGTCTGCTTGCTGGGGCTCTGGCTGATCTAAACCCTTGTCTTTATTTCCTCCCTCATATCTCTGTCTCCCTTCAAATGTCTGGCCTCTATATTCAGGATTTTTGCCTTCTCGGAAGTCAGATGTGGACCACTGTCCTTCTGACTCAGGTCCTTGTCCAGACATATTGGAAAGAGATGCAGATGGTCCAGCGTCCTCCCACATCTCTTTTCTGTGGGTTGGTGGATGGCTTGGAAGGTCCAGGAGTGGTCTTGGTGGTGGTTTCATACCTTGTGGTGACTGACCCTGGAAATGAAATCTAGAGGGGGGAGGTTCATCTTCCTCTGGAAACATTGCAGGTGGGGCTCCTCTTGGTCCCCCAAACTGATGTGGTGCTGGACCTCTCTGGTTGGAAAATCTGGGTGGTGGGCTCCCTCTCCGTTCTTCATATGGCTGTGGCAAAAGTCCCCTTGGACCAGGCATATGATTTGGAGCTGGACCCCTCTGCCCTTCAAATTGATTTGGGTGAGGCCCTCTTGGTCCCCCAAAATGACCTGGGGCTGGACCTCTTGGCCCTCCAAACTGAGGGCCTCCTCTCTGTCCTTTAAACTGAGCTGGTGGGGGTCGTCTTTGACCTCCAAAAGGAAAAGGTGAAGGTCCTCTGTTTCCCATAAATGGAGGGGA